TAGTGGGGTTGAGGTGGTATGGGTAGAGGGTCGTGGTAGGGTGGGGTGAGTGGGGTAGGGTGATGTGGGGTAAGGGTGGTGTGGGGTGAGGGTGGTGGTAGGGTGGGATCATCGGGTAAGGGGTGGTGTGGGGTGAGGGTGGTGGGGTAGAGGTGGTATGGGGTGAGGGTGGTGGTAGAATGGGGTGAGTGGGGTAGGGGTGGTGTGGGGTGAGGGTGGTGGTGGGGTGGGGTGAGTGGGGTAGAGGTGGTATGGGGTGAGGGTGGTGGTAGGGTGGGGTGAGTGGGGTAGGGTTGGTGTGGGGTTAGGGTGGTGTGGGTTTGAATGAGTGGGGTAGGGGTGGTGTTGGATGAGGGTGGTGGTGGGGTGGTGTGGGGAGATTGGGGTAGGGATGGTGTGGGGTTAGGGTGGTGTGGGGTGGGGTGAGTAGGGTAAGGGGTGGTGTGGGGTGAGGGTGGTGGGGTAGAGGTGGTATGGGGTGAGGGTGGTGGTAGAATGGGGTGAGTGGGGTAGGGGTGGTGTGGGGTGAGGGTGGTGGTGGGGTTGGGTGAGTAGGGTAGGGGTGGTGTTGGATGAGGGTGGTGGTGGGGTGGTGTGGGGAGATTGGGGTAGGGGTGGTGTGGGGTTAGGGTGGTGTGGGGTGGGGTGAGTAGGGTAGGGGTGGTGTGGGGTGAGGTGAGGGTGGTGGTGGAGTGAGTGGGGTAGGGGTGGTGTGGGGTGAGGGTGGTGGTGGGGTGGGGTGAGTGGGGGTGTCATAGGATCTTACGGCTACTTTTATATACCTTTCACTTACTTCAAATGTCACTGTTATGCATTCCCAAAAATCTTTTGGTTACAAAGTTTGATTTGTGCGGTATATGACATAGTCGCATTTGTTTAAATTAAAAAAACAAACATTAAAGATATCATATAACTATTGCAAACTTTAAGACGGTAGAATGATTCGCAATGAACAAACTGTAATTATTCTAGTTTCCGAACTGTACGCTAAGTTGAAAGTATTTGTATTTTGCTATGAATATATTACGCTGCTACTACAGATGGATGAAGCTACACCGGCTTCACATACATGTGTGTCAGTGTTGTTTCCATACATTTTGTCTTGAGTTCTTCTGTTACTGTTACAGTTGATATAAGTGTCTTATGTTGTATTTATACGATTTACACAATTGTCTTGTGCTGTTCTATTACTGTAACAGTTGATATAATTGTTGTATGCTGTATTAATACATTTCCTGTCCTGTGTTGTATTTATGCAGTTTAGACAATTTTCATGTGTTGTTCTAATACTGTAATAGGGGGCACGGGTGGCCCAGTCGTCTAAGGCGCCGCGACTCGCTGTGCAGAGTTGCGTCCCTTGGGCACGCCAGAAACCTATGATTGTGGGTTCGAATCCCGGTTCGCCCCAATTACGTTTATAGGTTTGTCAGCACCATGCCCGTGCTCGCGGGTTTCACCGAAGTGGTAAACGTCTGAGACCTGCATCACTTCGAGCTTTCCTCCCACATTAAGCAGACACGCCGTGATATAACAGCAATAATGTTAGGAGCGGCGTTAAACCCAACTCACTCACTAATACTGTTGATATCATTACCCCAAGTTGCATTAATACAGCTGACATAATTGTCCTATGTTGTAGTAATACAGTTGACATAATTGTCCTATGTTGTAGTAATACAGTTGACATAATTGTCCTATGTTGTAGTAATACAGTTGGCATAATTGTCCTATGTTGTAGTAATACAGTTGACATAATTGTCCTGTGTTGTATTAATACAGTTGACATAAGTGTCCTGTGTTGTATTAATACAGTTGACATAAGTGTCCTGTGTTGTAGTAATACAGTTGACATAATTGTCCTGTGTTTTATTAATACAGTTGACAGAAGTGTCCTGTGTTTTATTAATACAGTTGACATCAGTGTCCTATGTTGTAGTAATACAGTTGACATAATTGTCCTGTGTTTTATTAATACAGTTGACATAATTGTCCTGTGTTTTATTAATACAGTTGACATCAGTGTCCTGTGTTGTATTAATACAGTTGACATAATTGTTCTGTGTTTTATTAATACAGTTGACATAATTGTCCTGTGTTGTATTAATACAGTTGACATAAGTGTCCTGTGTTGTATTAATACAGTTGACATAAGTGTCCTGTGTTGTATTAATACAGTTGACATGATAGCCGTTGATGAGGCCAATCTAACACATAACTCGCGTATGACAAGTTCACTACTCCATGCTTTTCATGGACATTTCCATAGGTATGTAGAATCGTCACACAAACAGATCCATACCTGTGTTCGATAGTAATTGTTGTGAAATATGATCATTCCATCAATATTGCCTGAAGCCGGGACGGAATAAATATTGGGTATTTCCACTGATGGGGTAGAACTATACAAGTTGAGAAGTAATTGACTGCATTAAAGCGAGGGGTGGAGCTACGGTCTTGATAATGACTGGCAGCGGAAGCCCTGATCAATCATCGCTCGATAGTGGTAAATGAGTTCTAGCAGATATGTGGGACCCTTCACTATTGGCGGAATCTCATGAAGTGTGACTGCTGCCTTTGTATGAATTTATGGAATGTTTTCGCTGTTTATATGACTATGTTTCCGTTTTATGAAGGACTATCGGCAGTAATGTGTAACTATTTCCGTTTTATAAAATACTATCGGCAGTAATGTGTAACTATATTGACGTAGTGAAAAAGGTTTCAATCTGATTACTCCTTGAGAATTCAACAAAATATGTTATACTTTCAAACCACAAATTGATTATTTTATTTCTTTTTTCTACTGTATGTGAGACATACACTATACAACACAGATTTTCTCTAACCAATCACATTTTATTATCTTCCAAATACAGGTTAACCTTCACTTAGACGAGATTATATAATAAAGCAATGTATATCATTCCTTGGGGAAAGCAAATCTTGACCTGCTTGTATTCTGGAACCATAATGTCATAATTTGAAATAAATGGAAATATATAACATAAAAAATTAAAATGGCCATCAAGCCACGGCACCAGAGGTTATACGAAATATATCCTCAAAGTATTGTTTTGTATACCCAACACCAGAGCTTGGTCAAATGTTATAATATTCTCCTACGAATATATTCCCAAACTGTCTTATCGTGTTGGATACTTGCACCCGGGTAACAGAACGTTGCTAAGGCACCCGGAAGTATGCTAATGGTCTTACGTTTCACACACAGTTACGAACACACAGTATAGATAAACAGTCCTCTGCTACTGTCAGACATGTGGAATGGCACTCTCAAGTGATAATTTGGTAGTGAAACAATCACTAAAGTGCCTAATATTGCTCCCTGTTGAGACCTCGCCATGATGTCGCCGATATCTAACAATGTCCCAACACAGCCTTGTATATATCACGTCTATTTTAATCCCAAATTTACGAATGAAACTATTTGACACCCTATGCGGTTTTCTCGCTGCTTAATACAGCAATAGGCACAGGTCTCCATATTTAGGCATATTCAGATCGTGATTCGCCTTACAATGTAATGCAATTCGTGGAAATGTTGATTATATCGAATAGCTGTAAAAAAGAAAAATAGCTAAACCTACCCTTAATACCAACATATTATTAATGCTATGCGATAGATACGACCCCGTTTGACTGTATAACAAAGGCAGCCTCCTTGTTCTACTGGATATGGTGTCTGCTCAGAGAGCGGAATGTCGATCACTTGGTCGCTTCATACCAAAATACGTTAAAAGATGGTACTTCGTATTACCCTGCTTGACGTTCTTCAATGAGTTGATAAAACAACGACGGAGTATAATGTGTCTGATTGTGGTATCCGTGTTAAACTGCGGCATGGCATGTAAACTGGCTAACACTATAGAACAGACATAAGTATGGACTAGTACAATCAGACACACCACGCAGAGAGAGGGAGAGAGAGAGAGAGCGAGAGAGAGAGAGAGGAGAGAGAGAGACGCAGACACAGGCACACACACAGAGTCACACACACAAACACACACAGACACACACACAAACACACATAACACAAACAGACACACACACACGCACACACACAGAAATACACTCACAAACACACACGCACACACACACAACACACATTTCGCTGTAAGTGTACTAATCTTGAATGCGACGTTAGACCCAGTTCAGCTCACCTATTTGGCAATGTCTTTATTAGTTTAGACTACAATAGTGAATCAGAAGTATGTTAAAAGTTCTGTAATGCTTAAAACCGTCACGTAGTATGTGCACATACGGATGCAGTATTAGTTTGTGTGTAGTGAAAACAAGAAAAGAAATTTGCGCCATGCGTCAGTCGCTATTTCTAATAACAATCCCGAACAATCAATCAAAGTCGAGCGGTCTGTTGCGAACTTTCATGAGTCGAACTTAATGTCCTGTCCCATATCATTGCTAATCTTTAAGTAGAAGTTGATGATTTCAACTGAAAACTTGATCTGATGATACATTAAATCGCCCTTAGCTGCACATTTTGGGTAGTACACCAAAACATATTTGCGTTAAACAACGTAACAAGGCGACATCATGCGCCTGTCACTTCAAAAAGTGATTCATGTACCCAGACCGACTCATTGTAGTCATGGATGAGACGAAGGTCCCATCTCGCTTTGCACAACGACGCTCAAAAGGATCTACACACATGAAGGAATATGCGTTAATTGTTCACTGACTAGCCAGATCATCTGATTACAGGGTCGGCGGGATAGCCTTGTGGTTAAAGCTTTCGCTCTTCACGCCGAAAGCCAGGTAGAACTATTCTCCACATGCGGACAAATATACTATGAAGAGCAGGTTTGGTGTACACCGCCGTGATAGTGCTCGAATATTGCTAAAAATGGCCTAAAACCATCCTCACTCACTATCAGATTACTTTCATTACCTTCAATATAATCGAGAGTCCTGAGTCATATATGGACGTATGGGTAACTTGAAAACTAAATTGATGGTCAACTTACCAACTGCGATGAAGACTCTTCTAACAGCCTTTACATTCCTGGAGAACTTGGTGCTCAGGGGTGTTCTGCTGGTGCTCACTTTGGTGGATCTCTTACTTTCAGTTGCCTGATGCCCCTCCACGCTGAGGAACTGTTTGGGCGGGGCACGTGGTTTCTCAAGTGTCCTCTGTAGAGAGTGGATCTTTTGTATTTGGCACCTAGCAATTTGAATTATTCTGATATAATAGAAGAGCATTATAGCAAATGGCAGGGCCATTCCGAACACGCACAGGAATATGGTGAAGGAAACCTCTGAGATGTATTCTGGGTTACATATTGGAACAGTCTGAGGCTGGAACCTGTAGTCTCCCCAGCCGAACAGGGGGAAACTGGCGATAGACACACAGAAGCACCAGATACCCAGCACCACGAGTGACACTCTAGTGAACGTGGCTTCTATTGGGTAGCGGAGAGGGTGACGGATGTTGAGGTACCTGTCAGCAGCTATCCCACACAGTGAGAAGATGGAACACTGCATCAAGGTCGTTGTAAGGAATGCTGTAAACTCGCAAGCTGCATTTGAAAGTGGCCAGGATAATGTCGCTGTGGACAGAATCCAGAAGGGAAGAACCAAAGTTCCCACAAGGATGTCGGTGACCGCCAGGTTGAGGATGAAGATGGAGGACGCCGAGAACCTGGCGGACGTCTTGTAGACGGCATAGCAGAGTAGAGCGTTTCCTGCGAGACAGGTGAAGATGAGGAAGGAGATGGCTACGATCTGCGAGGCCAGGGAATAGCTGCTGGTGAAGTAGGCCGCATCACCACCTTTAGGACAAAACTGGAAATCTGTGCTGCAGTTAAAAAACGTCATGGTATGAGTGTTGGGGCATTCAAGGGTAGCTGTACTGTTCTCATGGGTTGATGGTATGTTGCTGAAAGACGTCCGATCAGCCCTGCGTATGTTATTGGTTTATAACAGGTTTTACAGATCTGATTGATAAAAAAACAAACAATCATATTTCACCGGTTCAAGTGTCCGTTTGGAAAAATAACCCCGATTCTATCCTAAACATTCCTTTGGGGATTCAGTTGACTGATACACCTCATTACCCTCGTGTTGTTCGGTTGCCACTTCTCTCAGAGGCTCCATTAACACTTCTCGTGACCAGAGTTGGCACTGGCATCAGCAGTTGTCATAGCACACTAGCTCCTGTCCATTGGATAGAACTTGTCCCTATCTACTGAATAGAACTTGTCCCTATCTATTGGGTAGAACTTGTTCCTGTCCATTGGGTAGAACTTGTTCCTGCTTATGGGTAGAATCCAATCGCTTTGACAACCTTCGTTTCAACGCCAATGTCACTCTTATCGCGAAACTCGATGTGTCAGCATTTTTATGTTATCCACGTTATCAAAGATCACTGAATATTTTGCGATAGCTGAGATAAATCCGTGTTTGCCATCCGACTGGGGTAATACCTCCCACTCTCTAACTCGCGTCCAAACATACAGAAGTTGACAACTGTATGACCATTGATCTGCGTCCCACCAGTGTAGCCACAGATCGACTAAACGCCCCGCTCTCGCCGCCGCCAATGTTACCTTTACCGGGTGTGATTAATTTCATATCGTTTTGTTGCTGCTGGCTATAGAGCACTTCACAATGCTTGATTTAATACAACTGAAATAATTACGGACTAGTTAGTGTCATTGATCTTGATGCAATTGAGGGTATATTTCTGGAGGAAACGAGGTAGACTTGCTATCACCAACAATCTGGCCTATCAAGTCTAATCCATTGTATATGAGCGGCACCGTTCCATAATATCTTGCTAGTTATTACTGAAACTTAAACAATGTTTGCAATATCCAAATATAGAGTGACATTCTCGAAAGGAACACGTATCAAAGAGAACTGCAGGCTTATTGTCATGTTGGTGTCTTCACCTAATTGATCTTATCTGAAAACAGGTTCTACTGCCATGGGGAATAACTAGATGTTACGTAATGGGTTATGAAAAACTGACGTATTTCGGTAAAAGCGTGCAAACATTATTGGTTTGTTCGGAATATGACTTGCAGGGACACTGATAAAACTTACTTTTACTCTTTGCACAAAACATGCATGAGATGGATGATACAAAAACCTAATGCGGTCGTCAAAACAAACACCGTTGTCATTTACCTCTTCTCTCATTCACCATTAAACAGTTACGGACTTTTCAAAACTAAAAATGAAAACTGTGTGTCAGCGCTGATTGTGGGTTTTGGAAAACAACTGGCGGTGTAGCCATCTAAACACACACTCCGGGCCGTACAAGCAATCGATGATATATCCATCTTCATTGATCGGAACCACACTCCGGGCCGTACAAGCAATCGATGATATATCCATCTTCATTGATCGGAACCACACTCCGGGCCGTACAAGAAATCGATGATACATCCATCTTCATTGATCGGAACCACACTCGGGGCCGTACAAGCAATCGATGATATATCCATCTTCATTGATCGGAACCACACTCCGGGCCGTACAAGCAATCGATGATATATCCATCTTCATTGATCGGAACCACACTCCGGGCCGTACAAGCAATCGATCATACATCCATCTTCATTGATCGGAACCACACTCCGGGCCGTACAAGAAATCGATGATACATCCATCTTCATTGATCGGAACCACACTCCGGGCCGTACAAGCAATCGATGATATATCCATCTTCATTGATCGGAACCACACTCCGGGCCGTACAAGCAATCGATGATATATCCATCTTCATTGATCGGAACCACACTCCGGGCCGTACAAGCAATCGATGATACATCCATCTTCATTGATCGGAACCACACTCCGGGCCGTACAAGCAATCGATGATACATCCATCTTCATTGATCGGAACCACACTCCGGGCCGTACAAGCAATCGATGATATATCCATCTTCATTGATCGGAACCACACTCCGGGCCGTACAAGCAATCGATGATACATCCATCTTCATTGATCGGAACCACACGTGACGTCATCGAGGTATTGTTTAATCTCTTTGCAAACGTCTGTCCTGTTATGGGCGGAGGATGTACGTCATACAGGAATCTACAGGGTAAATCATATTATGATGGTTAAGTTTCAGTCTGAACTAAGCCGGTACTGTACGGGAGTCCGAACTGTCTCCATATTGAAGTATGGCTGTATAATAGTTCATGCCAATAGTATTAGAAATAGCGGTAGCTGTGGCAATAGCAATGGAAGTATTGAGACAAAATGATGGGGCGACTTAAGATAGTTGGGGCGAATTGACAGATGGATTATTTTGTAACAAAGCGGTTTAAAAGAAGAAACTATTCAAATGAAACTTTATGAAATAAATGTAAAATGTCAGTAAATTATTTAAAGTAATACAGTGTAGCAACAGAACTTTGAAATAGTGAGTTTGATACATATTATTAGGTCATACGAAAGCCTTTGTCATCATCCGTGAAAAGATGAATCTCCATCATTACAGGGATATCATTCTGCAGCCAGTCATCCTTTCTCAGAAGACAGCCACAAGTGATACTGTTCTAACAGGACAATGCCAGGCCTCAAACTGCTCGAAAATTCAGGACTTTCGTAACATCAACAACGTATCGTGTTGCCCTGGCTGTCACGCTCAGTCGACCTCTCGCCGTTACACCATCTCAGGCCACGTCATCGCTGAGGCGTCGTGTCCAGGCCCGTTTTGACGCCCGAGGAGGTCACTAACGATACTGGTGCCATTACCGAGGTGCTATGGAAGCGTTCAGAAGCTTTGTTATCAGACTTTCATCATCTGTTGTTTTTGGTGAAAGTTGAATTAATGACATGTTTGACTTAATATTGCGTATTCATCCTAAGTGTCATGAAATTGTCTGTTGGCTTTTTGGCTTGGCTTGTATCATGTACTTCAAAATATATTTCAAATGAAATGGGTACATTTTCTCGTTTTCTTTGCGATGTATACTTTATTTTGATTAGTATTTTATTGTCAGTTTTGTCATATGAATACATCAATGTTAGGAATAATGAATGATGCAATTAATGACACACTTGCTTCCTTTGTCAGTTTGTCTTTTGTTACTCTAGTATATTGCCCAGTAGCCAGTAGTCGAGTACAGCTGGTTGATACCCTGTCCAAGTGGGCAGATGACATGAGGAGACGGGAATGGTGATTACAGTCAATTTGGGAAGGAGAAGGAGTAAGCCTTTATAAATTACTTTCGACGTCAATGTATATTGTGTAACCATGTCACAACCAGACCTTGAAAGATTTCCGTGCTTAAATTAAACCCTATACACGTCTATTCCAGATATTGGGGCAAGGGGTTTGGTTTGGGTTTGGGTTTGGGTTTGGGTTTGGGTTTGGGGTTTGGGTTTGGGGGTTTGGGTTTGGGTTGGGGGCAGAGTCGCCTAAGGCGACGACACTTGCTACTTTAAATAAATTCAAATAAATAGTTGTGAGTGAATTTGGGGTTCACACATTGTACCCACGTGGGGAATCGAACCCGGTTCATCGGCGTGACGAACCAACGCTTTAACCACTATATGACACTGCCCCACACAGTATGTCGTCAAAAGAAGGCTTGGTTGAACTTGTTATGGCCCAGAGTTCGCTTTGCAGAGTTGCGTTCCTAAGGTGTACCAGAAACCTATGATCGAGGTTCGAATTCCGTTTCGCCTGGAATATGTTTCTCAGTTTGTCAGCTCCATATCCGTGCTCGTGGATTATGAAGTGGTAAACGTCTAAGATCTTCATTGGTTAGGGCTTTCCTCGCACATCCTCCTGGCACGCCGGGACACTATTCCAGAAACATACTTACAAAATGCATAACACACTTTATTCAGTTTGCAACGATACACTGTTTTTCTTTTACAAGGTGACACGTATATGTACCCTTACATGAACTCTTCTATATACAACCAGGATGACATGAAGCAAAGTACTCATGACGGAAAATGACGTGAATAGTTGACGCTGGTGTTACATCCAATGATTAAACTAATGGCGTCAATTGAAGTATTATAAAGTTGAACAGTGAAGACCATAAACTACTTTGGTGTGGATTTGTGGGTGTCTTGTGTTATGATATATATAACAACAAAGTTACTTGAACTTATGAAATGGAGTCTGACTCACCATGGAAGATAAGTACAGAATAAACCCCCTTTGCAAATAAGAAATGCCCAATTTGTTATCTAGCGTCTGCCGTCATACATTGGAAATGGTCTCGAATTAATCTTAACACATTTTCAATATCCTTTCAGTTCAAAGCAATGGTAGAACTTCATATGTTGGGCATATACAAGGTTTATGGTTAAGCGATACGTTGATGCGCAGTCTGAAGAAACAACCCTAGGGCAAGAAGCGTCAGTGATGCTGTCGATGTTGTTGAAGAGCTTCGTCCTGGGCATAACGTTGTTGTGGGTATGGGTGGAGGTTCCAACGACCTTGATGTGTCGGTTCCCAGAGTCGCCGCGGTGGGGTAGGTGGTCGTCGGAGGTTGTGTTACTAGCGTAGTTATCTGTGTCGTTGAAGAAGGACTGGTAGTGGTAGTAGTAGTTGTTGTGGTGGTTGGTGTTGTGGTGGTTGTTGTTGTTGTTGTTGTTGTTGTCGTGGTTGACGTTGTTGTTGTTGTTGGCGTTGTCGTTGTCGTTGTTGTTGGCGTTGTGGTGGTTGTAGTGGTAGTTGTTGTGGTCGGAGTTGTAGTTGTTGTAGTTGTGGTTGTAGTGGTTGTAGTGGTTGTAGTTGTCGTGCTAGTTGATGTGGAAGGTGTCGTCGGTGGACCACTCAGTCTGTAGAGAACGGGCGAAGTGACATTCACCCAATACACGGCTGTGGATTTTACAAACGTGGCTCTGAAACAGTCAATAGCAGGTTTTAATGCCAATACCTTTAACTGAGAGTCTGACCTGACACTTACCATTTTACTAATAAACAAGCAGAAACATGCTCTACAAGGATGTGGGCGCTTGTAAGGTATGCGTAGGTTTAAAACAATTTTTTTACAACTTAAATTGAATCAAACGTCAAAAAGAATAAAGGAAGCTCTCGAAGGCCCCAGTTCCTATTCCAGGCATGGGTACAATGTGACATGCTTTGAATATTGCTCCAAGCTGAGTAAACCCTTTTCTTACCTCATTATGACATTGTGATTAAAGTTGTCTGGCGGTGTCCATGACACGATGAGTCTGTCCTTGTCTATTCTGGAGGAATGACTCATGGCGGCCTGGATGGAACAGGGAACAGTACACTTCAGTACACAGTGGACTATACACGCGTACACCATTTCGCTCAGTTATACATGTTCAGCACCATCCAATCATAAACTCACGTTAACATGAACATATCAGAGAGACAATCATTTCTTTCATGGGACAATACATACAACTAAATGTTTTTATATATTTTTCTTCAAAACAAAAGTTAAAAGACCATCTTAGTTACCTTGTACAAACATTTATCTTGTGACTTACGACAGAACAATGAAAATCTTTAATAAGACAGTACAATTCAGACATGTATATGGGTAACGAGACCACCTTCGTGGTCTAGTGGTAGAGCGTCCGCCGGAGAGCGGAAGGTCCGGGGTTCGATCCCCATCCGCGTCATACCAAAATACGTTCAAAGATGGTACTTGTTGTTACCCTGTCTGGCACTCGGCAGTTAGGGGCTAAAACAAGGACTGGTCGGCTCGGAGTCAGTATACTGTGTCTGGGTGGGTTATTAATGTTAAACTGCGGCATGGTATCTCAGTGGACTAGCACTATAAATCAGCATCAGTCCGGACTAGTACAAGCAGCCACACACACACATGCATGCACGTCGCTATATAAGTGCAATAATTTTGGACGCGACGTTAAACCCCATTTCACCTCACGTATATGGGTAACGAAGCAACAGAAACTGCCAACTGGTACCACAGTTGCAAGCTGTACTATATCAAGTCAAGATAACCGCCAATAGACAGCTTGAGATGAGATGTGTAGTCTTTTCACCTTTGTACCAAAGCAGGTGATGATTTTAGCAGGCTTCTGGTCCGGCACGATGCTGAATGTCCCGACCGGCACGGTGGTGTTGGAGCAGGTCAGACACCGGGCCTGCAGGAGGAAGCCACGGAACTTGCTGTCGGTCAGCGTCTCAAGTGTAACTGCAGAGTGTACAGATAAAACAAGAACCAAAGAGTTGGGATTAAACCTGCAGCGGGAGGTGAACCATGAAAACAGTAAACTATGACACAATTGGGTAAAAAATTCAATAGGCATTCGAATTAAATCTATACATAATGATATTGCACGTAGAGGTTTTAACATACACTAGGAGGTTAACTACATACTGTGACACTGTACGGACAGCATTCAACAGGCACTCAAATGTTAACTAATTATATGACATTATACGCACACAATTCAATAGGCACAAGTGATTAACTATACTGAGTCAAATTAAAAACTTCACATTTTTAAAAGTAATCCCATATATGATATACAACGGACAAATGTATCAGAGAAGGTAATTTTTAATCATTAATTATGTCCAAAGAAGGATTTTAATTAACGGTGGTAACCATAATTTGTTGCAAGCACCTACGGTATTCGGTAATAACATCAACAGTTTAAATCATAAGTCCCAAGCACGAGAATCTGATGGCACACAAGTTCAGTAGCGTGTATGGCCACCATGTGCGTTGACAACTGCCACACAACGCCTCCGCATGGACCTTGTGATGCTTGTGAACACATGATTGGGAAGACGAAGCCATTGTTGCTGCAAAATGGTGCCAAGATCTTGCAAATTCTGTGGTTGGTTCTGGAGAGTGCGCAGACTTCTGCCAAGAGCTTCCCAGACGTGTTCGATGGGATTGAGGTCGGGAGACCTTGACGGCCAGTCCATGACGTTGACTCCCGCATTCTGAAGGAAATTCCTTGTCAAAATTGCTGTGTGGGGTCTGGCATTGTCGTGTTGGAAGATCAAACCGGGTCCATGTGCTGCCATAAAAGGCAGAAATTCTTGTGCCAGTACCTGGTCGCGGTAAGCAGCAGCGTTGAGGTTGCCACGGATGACAAGAAGCCTGGAACGTGCATTGCCACAGAAAGCACCCCACACCATGACACTTCCGCCTCGAAATCTGTCAACTTCTGTACGCAACACTGGGCGTAACGTTCATGACGGCGCCTCCACACCCTCGCCCTACCATCAGCAAATCGAAGATTAAATCGGGATTCATCACTGAAGACGACTTGATTCCAATTCCTCTGAGTCCATCGTAAGTGTCGCTGTGCCCACAATTGACGTTGACGTCTGTGTAATTGAGTCAGAATCGGCCCGCAGTATGGCCGTCGTGCTTGAAGGTGAGCAGTTCACAGACGGTTTCGAACAGTTTGCGCACTCAGTCTACCCCTAAACAGTTCATTTCTGGTTGATGTAGCCGTCAAAAATCGGTTACGGAGGTGACGTAAGACAATCTGACGATCCTCTGCATGTGACGTCACGGTCAACCTGGCCGAGACGCGTCTGTAAATCATAAACAGTCCGTCGACTACAACCCATCGTCCTTGCGACTTCAGTTACGGACGTTCCCGTCTGCAACATGCCGATGGCACGTTCACGTTGCACATTTGAAAGGCGTGGCATGACAAATGGCCGTAAAGGCTTTTGTTTTCTTGTGTTTTTCTTCTTTTTTTATGTTAATGACTGCTAACAAGTATGGCTGAAAACACGTGCGGTATTATGGCCACGTGACCAGTTGCACGTGAAAAACCACATTTGCCACTATAGTGCTGTGCACATGATTTTGATCGATTCAACTGCACAAAAACGGGTGTTATCTGAAGACAATACGTGGCCATTACTGTTTAAATACACAATAAGGTCCCACAATGATAACTGGTCAAAATGTTAAAATTTTAGGATTGTGAAGTTTTTAACTTAGTTCAGTATATATACTTTGACATTGTCCGGATATGATGCAATACTACTACCTCTACTGTACTGCTACTATTACTGCTGCTGCTGCTGCTGCTACTACTACTACTACTACTACTACTACTACTACTACTACTACTACTACAGATTCTACTACTACTACAGCTACTACTACTACTACTACAACTACTACTACTACAACTACTACTACTGCTACAGCTACTACTACTACTACAACTATTATTACTACTTCCAACTTACCGTTAAGCTTGTAACCATCGTAGAAGCCCGGGTAGCTCACTGTCAGCTGGTAGGGAGGGGGTGACGTCTGAATGGATCCAGGATGGCCTGTTGGCTCCATGGATCCACATGACTGAGAGCTGGCTCCAAACGGAAAGCCGACAGTTGTGGGAATGAGGAACCACAGCGCACAGAGTACGATAGAAATCATCCTCTGAAATAGGTGGTTTTAGTGTGAATAAATGACTTGTTTGTTTTTTAAATGTGTTACACGGTTCATTTATCTATGTGCGATGGGGTAGCCTAGTGGATGCAGCATTCGCTCATCACGCCGAAGACCCGGATTCGAATCCCCTCATGGGTATACCGTATTAAGCCCATTTCTGGTGTCTCCCGCCGCAACAGTCCTGGAACAGTCGCCAAAGCGGCGTAAAACCATAATCGCTCACTTTCTTTGTGAACTATGGAAGCTTATTTGTGCCACATTCCAAACAGAAATACCATCTACATGATGATACTTAATCTACGTGATGATACTTACATCTACGTTGATGATACTTACATCTACGTGATGATACTTACATCTGCGTGATGATACTTACATCTACGTTGATGATACTTACATCTACTTGATGATATTTGCATCTACGTGATGATACTTACATCTACGTTGATGATACTTACATCAACGTGATGATACTTACATCTACGTTGATGATACTTACATCTACGTGATGATACTTACATCTACGTTGATTACACTTACATATGCGTTGATGATACTTACATCTCCGTGATGATACTTACATCTACGTTAATGATACTTACATCTACGTTGATGATACTTACATTACCGTGATGATACTTACATCTACGTTGATTACACTTACATCTGCGTTGATGATACTTACATCTACGTGATGATACTTACATCTACGTTAATGATACTTACATTTACGTTGATGATACTTACATCTACGTTAATGATACTTACATCTACGTTGATGACACTTACATCTACGTGATGATACTTACATCTACGTGATGAAACTTACATCTAAGTGATGATACTTACATCTACGTGATGATACTTACATCTACGTAGAAGATACTTTAATCTACGTATATGATGTTATAACCTACAGAGAAGTAAGTACTAATAATTTAATAATGACCGGTTTGTTTGACTTTCAACCCTGACAGGCATTTTTAGGTACTATTTAAACATTAAATTAATTCTCTTCATTTACATGTGTCGAAGATACTGTCCAAGAACTAGCACCAAGCCAAGTCTAGATTGGTCATGTGATATTTGATCGACTAAATATTTTCTGAGAAGCTGATTTTCTAACTTGGCCTCTCAATATATGACGGACTGTCAAAGGATCTACATTAATTCAAAACCGCGAACCGAAAAGTGAGGGTGGGGCGTCTGGCAGACGGTGAGAAGAATGAAGCACGCGGCACCCTCTTATAACAGCAAAAAAGAAGAAGAGAGTACAAAATGTTCTGCAAACTGTAAAATGGACTTCATTTTCAAATTGTTCAAAATTCATTAAAAAAATAATTACCACCATTATGATGACGTCAAGTTGTTGATGCAATGGATTTTGAGCCAGGAGTTCACTGGTCATTCTGAACGTGCATGTAGTGGAAGTAAAACGGACCCAACTATAGGTCATAATTCATCATATGAAGCACTGAAGGTACTTTTCTGCAGTTTAGTTCAATGAATTTATTTGTGTTTTTATTTTAGTGATGATAGTTTGACAGTTTGAAAATATCTCAGTTTTGTTGTAAAAACAACTAACAACGGAAAACATAAAGACAAACATGCTCCCAAACATTTGAATAGATTAAAAGTAATTAAGTAATCACCTTTATCTAAAATATAAATGTGCGTATAAGTTTTATCCAACTGGGGTCGCAACCTCACGCAGGCATTATCGCTGTCTGAGTGACAATAGGCACACTGATAATATCACAGACGTAGATGAAAGTATCGTCAACGTAGGGAATACATTTTTAGAATGTGGCACTAATACGTCTTCATAGTGGACAGTGTAATCTATGCACTATATATCTTTACGTAGCCACATTCATGTCCATACATAATCATTCAACGTCGGGTGGTGGTTTATAAATATGTTTCCTAATAAAGGGTTATAGTGATGGGGGACTATCCCGTCTGGTCGTCATGGCTCAGTACCCAATACTGGTTACACATCGAGCTCGATTTTCGAGAAAGGCATACATCTTTACTCAAGGATGCATTAATACACAAAACATTTCCTACAGATGTTTACTTGCTTATGAATTCTTTACAAAGGTGGACAATGTCTGCTATGACTGGTTTAATTCTTCCAGTTCTTACCGGACCAAAATATATGTTTGATAATTTGTTTAAAAAAATATTAGATTGTGAAAATAGTGGCAATAGATCAAGGATGTGAAAATCAGCCGGAATAAACTCTGGGAAATAAATAAATGACATCAAAACGAGAAAGAATGTTGATTTTTGTTTTGTTTCAAATTATCAGTGCGGCCGATAACAGATAGTTATGTGCGGGATGGTATACACAAGGAGTTCATCAGCAAATACATTCCAGTGTTTCAAGCCCTTACCTTGCTCTGTCGATACCTGAAACAAACCCCATAGTTCGGAAACTGTGGGAGATACCTTTCTGAAACAGTGATTCTTGTCAATGTTTATGAATCAACTTAACCTCTGCATACAAAGTACATGGAGCAGTATTTACCTTCTGGAATGTCATCAAGGAACCCAAGTGAACTTCATTTCATATTCAGTTGACAATGGCGCTACGCTGATTGATAACAGATTCATGTGTTGATGTGAGACATTGTGTTGTTTACAACTGTGCACTATGTTTTACGACGCCGTTATTTAGATTTACGCAGTATATCTGCCATCCACGACGCACAAGCATGCTGGTGAATATCACCCTATATGTGGGGGATTAGCGCCATTGTGTGCAGTCATTTGTCAATTTTCAGAATTTCAACAAATGTTTTATACAGATGAAAAATCAGAAGTGAAATAATCTTTAAATAATTATACATATCCGGACCTGTGTTATCTTACACCGCATCTATATATACATAAACTACGGTATGACAAAGGGTTTTGACTCTCCAGTAATTTATTATGAAAATATGCCAAATCCATTTGATATTAAACTCATATGTATTTGAACTCAATAACTTACATCAATTGTTTTGTTACACACGTATGAGTATATTCATATATATTGCGATGAGCTATTTAACTTTGTTAATTCTCGAACATAACCGAGGAGAGCATGAAGCTGCCAATGGTCTAGGAGTTTGCGAGTATGGCTTGAATAGCCTAGCTGCACTCCATTGCGAGGCTCCACCCATTGCTTGTCGGAATCACAGAAGGTTAGTACTATTCTGAATAAGAGCCGACTAAGATCCTGTTTGTATGTCAGATTGGTGCCACTAACTGAAACTGAATATGCAAATTATATATTCAGACCATTGGCATGTGTGCCATATATGGAGTGAGCGATTATGCTGTATCAGCTATCCAAGGTTCGTGGTATTAGGATGTATCGACAAGCGGAAAGCTAAATTATTTATTCAACTGCGTGAACTCCGAAAAAAGTAAGCATAATTATCATTGATCATCTGAGTGACGGGCTTAACAGAATTTTATTTGTATACATATACCAATTTCTTTTATCAATTCATGTAAATTTCATATTTCGTTCTACGTGTAATCATTTAAAAAAAAAAAGATGATTCGTGAACATTACAATAATACCCAAACAGAAATTAAGTATTAACCTTTTCGTTAACACGTTCTTTTTATCAAATAATGCGCTCCAAGCTACATATCTAAATAATATATTTTATCGTTCATAAACACGAATAGTCTCAATCAAGTAATATTGTATTGGCTAATATGTAATAAATTAGCAACTTTTTCTGAAAATATGTATACTTTTTTGGATACTGTAATATTTGAAATGACCTATGTAAAGTATGCTAAATTTAATTAGTATGTCTGAACAAGTTTTCTTTAAGATTGTGATTCCTTATTTTACAATACCAAAGAGTGTTTTGTTTGTGTTGTCAAGATTATGTCTGGTATTCAATATGGCGTGTATGCACTCTTGCTCAAACTCTCCGTCACTGTGGCGTTTCCATTCGGAGCGAGTCATCAGGCTTGTGGTCACATGAAACCCGTTGGGCACCCGGGAGTGGAAAACAAGTCCCCAGCTCCATACAGGGTGCTCGTCAGTCACAACACATACTACGACGGACACTCTCTCAATGGTTAGAAAAGAAAGATCTGTTTTTATGTTTTCTTAGATCAATGATGCGAGTAAAACGGATTTTAACGAAGTGAGTCTTTAACTAGAGTATATTTCTGTGTATTTGTGATGGGAAGAGATGAATTCTGACTGATAAATCTGAGCTAAAAGGGCCATAATGACATCAATACTAATTCGATATATCGACCTGACGTCATTTTGATTGTTACGTCATGAAACATGACGTTCGCAATGGTATTAACATAACTTCAGTAATGCTGAAATCATTATTATTGTTTGTTTGTATGAACTCCTTTACTTATAACCACACGGACATTTCGCATTTTATGGATTTAAACGGCTTGTGATGAAGTTGTGTAAACCTATTTTATGAACTTAAGGCTTACAGTAAATTTGCATCCTAGGTGTTTATCTATAACCTTGTATTTAGAATTACAACTCTACATATCCCTGTGCAATCAAAGAACCATGCTCCCTGATAATGTATGTAGATGTAGTACCTTGTATGTAGATGTACCATCCTGTATGTAGATGTACCACCCTGTATGTAGATGTACCACCCTGTATGTAGATGTTCCATCCTGTATGTAGATGTACCAACTTGTATGTAGATGTACCACCCTGTATGTAGATATACCACCCTGTATGTAGATGTACCATCCTGTAAGTATATGTACCACCCTGTATGTCGATGTACCATCCTGTAAGTAGATGTACCAAACTAGTATGTAGATGTACCACCCTGTATGTAGATGTACCATCCTGTATATAGATGTACCACCCTGTATGTAGATGTACCACCCTGTATGTAGATGTACTACCTTGTATATAGATGTACCACCCTGTATGTAGATGTACCACCCTGTATGTAGATATACCACCCTGTATGTCGATGTACCATCCTGTAAGTAGATGTTCCATCCTGTATGTAGATGTACCACCCTGTATGTAGATGTACCGCCCTGTATGTAGATGTACCATCCTGTAAGTATATGTACCACCCTGTATGTAGATGTACCATCCTGTATGTAGATGTACCACCCTGTATGTAGATGTACCACCCTGTATGTAGATGTACCATCCTGTAAGTAGATGTACCACCCTGTATGTAGATGTACCACCCTGTATGTAGATGTACCACCCTGTATGTAGATGTACCACCCTGTATGTAGATGTACCACCCTGTATGTAGATGTACCATCCTGTATGTAGATGTACCACCCTGTATGTAGATGTACCACCCTGTATGTAGATGTACCATCCTGTATGTAGATGTACCACCCTGTATGTAGATGTACCATCCTGTAAGTAGATGTACCAAACTAGTATGTAGATGTACCAGCCTGTATGTAGATGTACCACCCTGTATGTAGATGTACCATCCTGTATGTAGATGTTCCATCCTGTATGTAGATGTACCACCCTGTATGTAGATTGACCATCCTGTATGTAGATGTACCACCCTGTATGTAGATGTACCACCCTGTATGTTGATGTACCACCCTGTATGTAGATGTACAACCTTGTATGTAGATGTAGATGAATCAACCTGTATGTAGATGTACCATCCTGTAAATAGATGTACCACCCTGTATGTAGAAGTGCCACCCTGTATGTAGAAGTACCACCCTGTATGTAGATGTACCATCCTGTATGTAGATGTACCATCCTGTATGTAGATGTAGATGAATCAACCTGTATGTAGATGTACCACCCTGTATATAGATGTACCACCCTGTATGTAGATGTACCGCCCTGTATGTAGATGTAGCACCCTGTATGTAGATGTACCATCCTGTATGTAGATGTAGATGTACCACCCTGTATATAGATGTACCAGCCTGTATGTAGATGTACCGCCCTGTATGAAGATGTGCCACCCTGTATGTAGATGTACCACCCTGTATGTAGATGTAGATGTACCACCCTGTATCTAGATGTACCATGCACCCTGTATGTAGAAGTACCATCCTGTATGTAGATGAAGATGTACCATCCTGTATGTAGATGTAGCACCCTGTATGTAGATGTAGCACCCTGTATGAAGATGTGCCACCCTGTATGTAGATGTAGATGTACCATCCTGTATGTAGATGAACCACCCTGTATGTAGATGTATCACCCTGTATATAGATGTACCACCCTGTATATAGATGTACCACCCTGTATGTAGATGTACCACCCTGTATATAGATGTACCACCCTGTATGTAGATGTACCATCCTGTATGTAGATGTAGCACCCTGTATGTAGATGTACCATCTTGTAAGTAGACGTATCACCCTGTATATAGATGTACCACCCTGTATGTAGATGTAGCACCCTGTATGAAGATGTGCCACCCTGTATGTAAATGTAGATGTACCACCCTGTATGAAGATGTACCACCCTGTATGTAGATGTATCACCCTGTATGTAGATGTACCGCCCTGTATGTAGATGTACCACCCTGTATGTAGATGTACCACCCTGTATGTAGATGTACCATCTTGTAATTAGACGTATCACCCTGTATATAGATGTACCACCCTGTATGTAGATGAACCGCCTTGTATGTAGATGTACTACCATGTATGTAGATGTACCGCCTTGTATGTAGATATACCACCCTGTATGTAGATGTACCGCCTTGTATGTAGATGTACCACCATGTATGTAGATGTACCGCCTTGTATGTAGATGTACCACCCTGTATGTAGATGTACCAACTTGTATGTAGATGTACCATCCTGTATGTAGGTGTACCATCATGTATGTAGATGTACCACCCTGTATGTAGATGTACCATCCTGTATGTAGATGTATCACCCTGTATGTAGATGTATCACCCTGTATGTAGATGTACCGCCCTGTATGTAGATGTACCACCCTGTATGTAGATGTACTGCCCTGTATGTAGATGTACCATCCTGTATGTAGATGTATCACCCTGTATGTAGATGTACCATCCTGTATGTAGATGTACCATCCTGTATGTAGATGTATCACCCTGTATGTAGATGTACCATCCTGTATGTAGATGTATCACCCTGTATGTAGATGTACCATCCTGTATGTAGATGTACCACCCTGTATGTAGATGTATCACCCTGTATGTAGATGTACCACCCTGTATGTAGATGTATCACCCTTTATGTAGATGTACCATCCTGTAAGTATATGTACCACCCTGTATGTAGATGTACCGCCCTGTATGTAGATGTACCATCCTGTATGTAGATGTACCATCCTGTATATAGATGTACCACCCTGTATGTAGATGTACCACCTTGTATGTAGATGTACTACCTTGTATGTAGATGTATCACCCTGTATGTAGATGTACCATCCTGTATGTAGATGTACCACCCTGTATGTAGATGTACCATCCTGTAAGTATATGTACCACCCTGTATGTAGATGTACCGCCCTGTATGTAGATGTACCATCCTGTATGTAGATGTACCATCCTGTATATAGATGTATCACCCTGTATGTAGATGTACCACCTTGTATGTAGATGTACTACCTTGTATGTAGATGTATCACCCTGTATGTAGATGTAGCACCCTGTATGTAGATGTACCAACTTGTAAGTAGACGTATCACCCTGTATATAGATGTACCACCCTGTATGTAGATGTACCGCCTTGTATGTAGATGTACTACCTTGTATGTAGATGTATCACCCTGTATGTAGATGTACCGCCTTGTATGTAGATGTACCACCCTGTATGTAGATGTACCACCCTGTATGTAGATGTATCACCCTGTATGTAGATGTACCACCCTGTATGTAGATGTACCACCCTGTATGTAGATGTACCACCCTGTATGTAGATGTACCACCCTGTATGTAGATACATGTTGACATTAGCCATACATTGAAGATGACCCACACTAGTGGAATGTTTAGTGATGTGCACTAGGGGCGTGCTGCTGCTCTTCCAGTGACTCTGATGTCGGTCGAGACTGATGTCAAGTTCCGGGGTTTCCTGCTCCAGGCGCGATGTCGGACGTGTGCTTACCCAACAGTACCAGTCGGGGTATTCCGCACTATCCGGGGACAGCCACCTGCCAGAGTGATGAACTGCTTCAATACAATTGTCAGTACAGTGTTGACTTCCATACTCGTTGTTCTGTGTAGGAAACAATGTGTGAAAGTGAAACTAATGGCCTTAATGAATTGTATATTGTTGGCAATTAATCGTACTGTAGTAATATAATTGGAAACTCGCTGTGGTAGCTCATGAATAAGACTACTTCAATACACTGCCAATACTATAAACATACTCGCATAACGTATGACAAGTGTACATGTACACCTCCTGCATGATGTTGCAGTTGACATCAGTTCAATGCGCCATGGATTCCACTTTCAGGCCGCTATAACCCAGCTGTCCAAGATCCCCAAGGAACGTGTTGTGGTCACTTGGACACCCCCAGATAATTTTGACAAAGACGTGCACATGAGGTACGCCTAATGCAGAGACTACAGTGTCAATGTGAAGTGTGTTACTCGGAAGGAGATCCAGAAGGTTATCTGCAAAACAGATTTCAACGGTTTCGTAAAACCCCTTTACTGCTGGCTTTGTCGTGTATCGCTTATTGATAATTTGCTTTAAACCCATTTATACACTTGTCTTGTGTTTCTGTCTTTTCATCAGAGTGACCTTCGTGGAATCAAGGATGTCGTACTGGGGCAATGTGATATCTGAAACAATCACTAGAAACAACGGTCCACCAACAAGACCGCAATCAACCACAACTGAAGCTATCACAACACAACCAACAACAACTGTAGCTACCACAACACAACCAACAACAACCGTAGCTACCACAACACAACCAACAACAACTGTAGCTACCACAACACAACCAACAACAACTGCAGCTACCACAACACAACCAACAACAACTGCAACTACCACAACACAACCAACAACAACTGAAGCTACCACAACACAACCAACAACAACTGTAGCTACCACAACACAACCAACAACAACTGTAGCTACCACAACACAACCAACAACAACAGAAGCTACCACAACACAACCAACAACAACTGAAGCTACCACAACACAACCAACAACAACTGTAGCTACCACAACACAACCAACAACAACTGTAGCTACCACAACACAACCAACAACAACTGAAGCTACCACAACACAACCAACAACAACTATAGCTACCACAACACAACCAACAACAACTGTAGCTACCACAACACAACCAACAACAACTGTAGCTACCACAACACAACCAACAACAACTGTAGCTACCACAACACAACTTACAACAACTGTAGCTACCACAACACAACCAACAACAACTGTAGCTACCACAACACAACCAACAACAACTGTAGCTACCACAACACAACCAACAACAACTGAAGCTACCACAACACAACCTACAACTGCAGCTACCACAACACAACCAACAACAACTGTAGCTACCACAACACAACCAACAACAACAACAACAACTGTAGCTACCACAACACAACCAACAACTGCAGCTCCCACAACACAACCAACAACAACTAAAGTTTCAACAACACAGCCAACACCGACAACTAAACCTACAACAGGACCGACAACAACCACAACACAGCCAACACCTGTAACCGCGACTACAACGTCTTTATCAGCATCGACGTCGACAGAAACCAGTTCACCAACAGCCGCAGGACTTGAATGGATCACAGCCAGGGTATCCGTGAACATCGACCTTGTTACCAGTTCTCTTCCGGGGGAGACGGTAATTCCATCTTCCACACATTCCTCACAGACAAACCACCAGCATGTGGATTCCCCATGGAGAACAATCGCTCCTGCTGTGAGCCCCATGTGTTCATCTGGTCAAGGGTTTGGGCCAGGAATGTGGGGACCAGTAACTGGTGTTATTGTTGCAGTACACACGAGATATCACAGTGTACACCTAGTGTGACTTTACATCAGCAAATGATTAAATCAACCAAACACAAGTGGATAGCAAAAGGTTGGAATGAATGAACAGGTTATATTTGCAGTAAAGTAGGTGAAATAAATCATATTTTGTGTGAAACGTTGAACACTACGTGCATTATCCAAATGCTAATGTATATAAACAGAACTAATAAAGCCATGCTCCCCTTTTGTTTCAATCTAGCAATTATGAAACTGTATGTATTATATCAGTATTGGGCAACTATTCTGTAAAGGACTGACTGGAATACAATGGAACTGAAGGTCATGGTAACCGCCTTTTTACACTAACGCACAGTTACAATAAGGCATCAGTCCTCCAGTGAGTAAACATAAGAGACCTAAATGTGTTCTGCAGAGTGCTTTGCAAATTTATCTTATTTCTTGTTGTTTGATGCCACAGTCAGAACTATTACAGCTATATCACGACGGCCTAGATGTAATCGAGTCTGGACCAAACAAGCCAGTGTTTGTTTTATTAATGCATAATATACATCTGTCATCAGCCATAAAACGTTTTGAAAGCTCTTTGAAATATTCGTAGGAAAAGCATGCATGATTGTACCTCAAAAGTTGTGAACAGTACACAGGGCTGGAGCTGCAGGCATATCGCTTGAAATAAAGGGAAAGTTCACTATTGGAAAGTTGAAGTAACCCCCTCGTCATACAGAAATGTTGAGAGTTTTGTGTCACTCCGAATCTTTATGCATAGATCTAAATATTAAAATGATGTGGTAGTTTCACTGGACTCTAGTTCAGCTGGGTAAATCAGTGGAAGGGAAGTGGCTATTTGACTGTTGTCAGATAATCGATATACCTGAAGCGTAAATTCCCTTGTTTTCATTTTGCTAACCCGAGCAGAAATTCCGATTCATATGCATTACGAAACAGATCAGCAAGGAGGGAGCACAGCTGGTGCCCATGGGGATGCATTCTATGTGTAAAATGTCTAATCCCCAAATTATACATAATGTTGGAGCGTTCGCTCGTCACGCCCAAGACCCGGGTTCAATTCCCGACATGGGTACAATGTGTGAAGCCCATTTCTGGTGTCCCCTGCCGTGATATTGCTGGAATATTGCTAAAAGCGTCGTAAAACTATACTCACTCACTCACGTAGATGTTATCAATGAGGAAGTCCAGCATTTCACATATTCTCGGTGAACTTCAGTTGACTTTGCTTTCGTTTTCGACAAATTGTTCTGAACTGACAACATCTATACGTTTAGTAAAACAAAATGTCCAGTGGAACAAGGTATGAAACGTTTCCTGAAATTCGTCGGGTGACATTGTGAAAAATCAATTTTTTGACATAATTAAACTGTGTTCTTTTCTGAGTATGCAAAACTTGAATCAAATCCTTTGACCTATTGAAAATCCAAATGGTATAAATTCCACTTGTCTCAAATACTTTCTTTGAATATAAAGAAAGTCCTTACTTGATTATGTTAAGGATTCTGCTAAGTCTTTGAGATGGATATTATTGTTATGAAGATGTTTATTGATTTTAAAACACGTCTAATGCATCATTGTATTTATTGCCAAAAAGGTACATAATATTCAGTGCATCAAGCAGGTGCCAGTACTTCAAGATGTCTGAAAGAAAACAAACTATAAAATGACAGTAAAACGTCAGTTATATTATATATGACACTACCCTATCTTCTTGTTTGAAACTAATTTGGATCCAGCTGGGTCTTCGCTTTGTTCAGTATATGCTACGTGTATTTAGAATAGAAGACGACAGTACGTGAGGAGCCCCAGTGTCGGGCCTAGTGCAGTAGCGGCAGGGGAGGGCGAGGCTGACGTGCTACATGTAGTTGCTGGCGGTCGGGTCGTCCCGGGGCTGGTCGGCCGGGGACGTATAGCGGCTGCGGGTGTGGAACCACCAGCTCCTAACGGCACTGACTTGGCGTTCATTGTCTGGGAAACAACATTACCCCACCACCGTGTGCTATCTTGAACAAACGTCGCTCTGAAAAGGACACAGAAAGTTAATAGATATAATATTTGACAGATTTCATCAAACATTCTTTCTAATGCAAAAATGTGTATTGATTGAGACGAATTGTTCATTGTATGTAATAAAAACTAGACAAAACGTGCCTTTTTTATGTGTCGATGACAATGTATGTTTGTTTATTTGTTGTTTAACGCCACACTAGGCAATATTTCAGCTTTATCACGGCGGTCTGTCGAAGCCTTTGACCCTCAGCGGTATCACTTATTGTGATGGCCGTTGTTGATAATGCAAATGTTGGTTGTAAGGGAAGTCCTACACCCTCACCGCATGATAACGACGTCCGCGAAACCAGCAGGCGGCGTCCATGTGAAAGTGACACTTGTCTTGGGATTTGTGGTTGATGATGTAATGACTGCCTGGAAGCAGAAAAGTTAACTCATAATTGTTGGAACTCAAGCACAACATGAGCAGATGTAAGACCTACACCCATACACCTGCAGCTGTGACATGGTCCTCTGACTATGGGCAGATGTAAGAACTACACTCATACACCTGCAGCTGTGACCTGTACCTTGACTACATGGGCTTGTGTAAGATCTACGCACATACACCTGCAGCTGTGACTGTACCCTGACTACATGGGTAGATATAAGAACTACGCCCATAGACCTGCAGCTGTGACCTGTACCCTGACTACATGGGTAGATATGAGAACTACGCCCATACACCTGCAGCTGTGACTGTACCCTGACTACATGGGTAGATATTAGAACTACGCCCATAGACCTGCAGCTGTGACCTGTACCCTGACTACATGGTTAGATATAAGAACTACGCCCATAGACCTGCAGCTGTGACCTGTACCCTGACTACATGGGTAGATATAAGAACTACGCCCATATACCTGCAGCTGTGACCTGTTACCTGACTACATGGGTAGATATAAGAACTACGCCCATAGACCTGCAGCTGTGACCTGTACCCTGACTACATGGGTAGATATAAGAACTACGCCCATAGACCTGCAGCTGTGACCTGTACCCTGACCACATGGGCGGGTTAAAGAACTACACCCATACACCTGCAGCTGTGACCTGTCCCCTGACTACATGGGCAGGTGGAAGAACTACGCCCATACACCTGAAGCTATGAGCTGTATCCTGACTACATGGGCAGATGTAAGACCTACACCCATACACCTGCAGCTGTGACCTGTCCCCTGACTACATGGGCTGGTGTAAGAACTACACCCATGCACCTGCAGCTGAGGTCTGTCCTCTGACTACATGGGCAGGTGTAAGAACTACACCCATACACCTGCAGCTGTGACCTGTCCCCTGACTACATGGGCAGGTGGAAGAACTACGCCCATACACCTGAAGCTATGAGCTGTATCCTGACTACATAGGCAGATGTAAGACCTACACCCATACACCTGCAGCTGTGACCTGTCCCCTGACTACATGGGCTGGTGTAAGAACTACACCCATGCACCTGCAGCTGTGACCTGTCCCTTGACTACATGGGCTGGTGTAAGAACTACGCCCATACACCTGCAGCTGTGACCTGTCCCCTGACTACATGGGCAGGTGGAAGAACAACGCCCATACACCTGAAGCTATGAGCTGTATCCTGACTACATAGGCAGATGTAAGACCTACACCCATACACCTGCAGCTGTGACCTGTCCCCTGACTACATGGGCTGGTGTAAGAACTGCACCCATGCACCTGCAGCTGAGGCCTGTCCCTTGACTACATGGGCTGGTGTAAGAACTACGCCCATACACCTGCAGCTGCCCGCTGACTTCGAAGAATGGCAAGTGAAATAACTACACACACAGGTTTCAAGTTTTACACCTAGTTTCGCCCAGGGACATCCGCTAAACGGAGAGATTTGAACAAAACGTATATCCCATTTAATGTGATGATTGTGTAGCTCAGGTGACTGAAAACAGAAATATAACATTTATAAGAAATCTTTCTTTTAAACAATACAAATACTGCTTCCTCAACACAGCCTTCAACTGGGTGGCTATGACAGTGGTTTGACATTTAGTATGTTCTCAGAGCGTAGTTTTAGTGCGACGATTTTACATATTTTTCGTAATTTTTAGTTAAGCACGTGCCTGGAGATATTTGCGTTACTGATAATGCGAGTGAGTGATTAGTGTTAGCACTGATTTTAGCACTATTCCGAGTTTGTCACGTTGGGGAGCATCAAGAATGGGCTTCACACATAATATCAAAGAATCAGACCGGGCCTTCGTTGTGGCGAGTGCTGTAACCCACAGCATAAGGAACGTGTAATGTGTATGGACCAATACACCTACAGCTAAAACACAAGAAAAAACAACAAGAGAGGAAGTGGGGTTAAGTAATTCTACCAATAGAAATGTGTACTTGTAGGCAAAAGTCGGTAGGTGATCGTTGTTTTATCGTCGAAGTCCTAAATATGCCGGTTATATCACGGCGCCCTGTAAGTAATTGAGTCTAGAACCCGATAAAGCAATGGTTCATATCATGAGCAAACGTCCCACTGGGGCACAACGACACTCAATGAACCAAGTCACAAAGTCTGTCCATCCGACCCTTTAGTCTTCTCAAGCTGGGCACGCTGCTGGGGACCATGAATATGCAGGAAAAGAGGACGTTATGCATATACCATTGTCTCAAAACAGCCGAGTATCTCACTGGGGGATTGGCCGGCAGGAATGGTGAATGTCCCAACAGGCACCGTCAGGTTTGCACAGGTGAGACATCTTGCTTGTAGAAGTAACTCCGTGAATGTGGTCGAGGCATCCGTTGACGAAAGTACCACTGAAATGATAACATCGACAAATAGATTATGGCGACATACTTATGCCATGGCGGTGGTTAACATGAGAATCTGAGAGAGTCAGCGTGTGTGGTGTAACGTTACTGTCAGCAATTTTATGTTATATCAACTTGCGATCAGCCAAGTCCCAGAGCCTGACTGACGATACACATTTCTGTCGGCTCGTAGGACAAGCATGGGGTATTGGGGACCTGTTCTGACCAGAGATTATGAGGTATTGGGGACCTGTTCTGATCAGAGATTATGAGGTATTGGGGAACTGTCGTCCTGGCCATAATCCCCACAAGGAGACAATCATGAGGTATTGGGGACCACAAACGAATGAGGAACTAGGGACCTACTCTGACGACAGACTATGAGGCATTGGGGACCTGTTTTGATCAGAATCCCCACAAGGAGACAAGCATGAAGTAGTGGGGACCTGTTATGACCAGGATCCCTTAACTGGAAGACACGTATGAAATTCTGGGGATCTACTCTGACTACGAATCCCCACAGGGACACAAGCTGCAGCTATTGGGGACCTACTTTTACCAGAATCCCATAAGGAGTGTTGAACTGGATACTGACTCTGACCACGAATCCTCACAGGGAGACAAGCATGAGGAAGTGGAGATTTAGTCTTTCCACGAACCCCCACAGCGAGACAAGCAGCAGGTACTCGGGGCCTACTCTGATCAGAATCCAGATAAGGAGAGACGCACGAGGTACTGGGGACCTACTCTGACCACAAATCTATACAAAGTAGAAACACTAAGTAGTTACAGTAGCAATGTGTTTATTCTTACATCAGTTTGTGTGAAGCAATTGGTGGTGTAACCACGATTGCTGAAATTATAATTATGATACTTCTGCTCTTGCATCTAACAATGCTCTCCTATTTGTACGCCTCTACGAACGAGTCTGTTACCGTGTCATCACTGCAATCTAATTTTAATGACCAATACTAGAAAACAGATTGAGTGTTTTTTTAAGCCACACCATCAACGGGTACGCCATCTTCATACTCCGTGGTTGATACCGACACACGGTAGGGTGGTAGGGAGGTCTGCTCGGTCGCCGTCAGGCCAGCTGGCACCATATTTTCACAACTTCTCAGGTCGAACACATTTGCTCTCGTGCCGAGGACGAGGACGCTGATTCCGAAGATAATTATACAAGGCTTCATCTGAGATAGAAATAAGTATCCGCAATAATCAAATTTAAAGATAACTTTGTGGCACTGGGAACCGAATCAACGCAGAGTTAGTAAAACTGCATCAATGTATAAATATAATTAGGGACAAATTTCAACGTTTGATACCTTGAAACAGTATGACGATGACGTGGGTTTGATGAATACATATTTCATGTAAATATGTTCAGATATATTTCTAGATTGCCGACCACAAGAAAGTTTACATTGTTAGATTGTAAACATGTTCTAAATCATTATCTAAAGGAAACTGAACATACTCTCTCTCTCTTCGAAGACTATTTTGAAATAAATGTTCTTGAATTTTGTGTAAAACAGTTCTTTGCTGATAGGTAAAGATAAAAAATAAAAAAAAGGGGGGGGGGGGGGGGGGGGGGGGGAGGCACGAGTTCTCATCATCCGTGGACATTTGTGTGGATGTCATGACGTTATTATGTTTGATGGGACACCACTAGCTTGTCACGTTGCAATCGACCCTGTTCGCAGATTGAGTTACAATGCTGTAAGTCTGTCACAGGATAGTCATTGGCACACACCAACATATCATAAAACACAAATCAAGTGATTATAACTCGTCAACTCGTAAAGACAAATGTGTCACTAGTGAGGTGTACGGGATTGTACCAGCTGAACGTTCGACAAGCCCATTCAGCTCATACAATCCCCTAAACCCTTTGGTGATAAACGCATCTCATATGATACGTTGGGGGCACTGGTGGCCGATTTGACTGAGGCGCCGGAATTTACAGGGCAGGGTTGTGTGGTGAGGTGAGGTGTGGTGAGGTGAGGTGAGGTGTGGTGAGGTGAGGTGAGGTGAGGTGAGGTGAGATGAGGTGAGGTGAGGTGAAGTGAGGTGAAATGGGGTTTAACGTTGCGTTCAAGATTATTGCACTTATATAGCGACGTGGATGCACGTGTTCGTGTGTGGCTGCTTGTACTCGTCCGGACTAATACCGATTTCATTGTGCTAGTACACTGAGATACCATGACGCAGTTTCACATTAATGTCATACTCAGACACAGTATATTGATTTCGAGTTTTAGCCCCTTAATGCCGAGCGCCATGCAGGGAAACAACAAGTACCATGTAGCATTGTGTGATTTCAGTCCCATCATAGTGTCAGGACCCTGTAGCATTGGGTGATTTCAGTCCCATCATAGAGTCATGGCCCTGTAGCATTGTGTGATTTCAGCCCCATCATAGTGTCAGGACCCTGTAGCATTGGGTGATTTCAGTCCCATCATTGTGTCAGGACCCTGTAGCATTGGGTGATTCAGCCCCAACATAAAGTCATGGCCCTGTAGCATTGGGTGATTTCAGCCCCATCATAGAGTCAGGACCCTGTAGCATTGGGTGATTTCAGTCCCATCATAGAGTCATGGCCCTGTAACATTGGGTGATTTCAGTCCCATCATAGAGTCATGGCCCTGTAGCATTTGGTGATTTCAGTCCCATCATAGTGTCAGGACCCTGTAGCATTGGGTGATTTCAGTCCCATCATAGTGTCAGGACCCTGTAGCATTGGGTGATTTCAGTCCCATCATAGAGTCATGGCCCTGTAGCATTGTGTGATTTCAGCCCCATCATAGTGTCAGGACCCTGTAGCATTGGGTGATTTCAGTCCCATCATTGTGTCAGGACCCTGTAGCATTGGGTGATTCAGCCCCAACATAAAGTCATGGCCCTGTAGCATTGGGTGATTTCAGCCCCATCATAGAGTCAGGACCCTGTAGCATTGGGTGATTTCAGTCCCATCATAGAGTCATGGCCCTGTAACATTGGGTGATTTCAGTCCCATCATAGAGTCATGGCCCTGTAGCATTTGGTGATTTCAGTCCCATCATAGTGTCAGGACCCTGTAGCATTGGGTGATTCAGTTCCATCATAGTGTCATGGCCCTGTAGCATTTTGTGACTTTAGTCCCATCATAGAGTCATGGCCCTGTAACATTGGGTGATTTCAGTCCCATCATAGTGTCAGGACCCTGTAGCATTGGTTGCTTTCAGTCCCATCATAGTGTCATGGCCCTGTAGCATTGTGTGATTTCAGTCCCATCATAGTGTCAGGACCCTGTAGCATTGGGTGATTTCGGTCCCATCATAGTGTCATGACCCTGTAACATTGGGTGATTTCAGTCCCATCAAAGAGTCATGGCCCTGTAGCATTTGGTGATTTCAGCCCAATCATGGCCCTGTAACATTGTGTGATTTCAGCCCCATCATAGTGTCAGGACCCTATAACATTGTGTGATTTCAGTCCCATCATAGAGCCCTGGCCCTGTAACATCGGGTGATTTCAGACCCATCATAGTGTCAGGACCCTTTAGCATTGGGTGATCTCAGTCCCATCATAGTGTCATGGCCCTGTAGCATTGTGTGATTTCAGTCCCATCATAGTGTCATGGCCCTGTAACATTGGGTGATTTCAGTCCCATCATAGTGTCAGTACCCTTTAGCATTGGGTGATTCAGTCCCATCATTGTGTCAGGACCCTGTAGCATTGGGTGATTCTGCCCCAACATAAAGTCATGGCTCTGTAGCATTGGGTGATTTCAGCCCCATCATAGAGTCGTGGCCCTGTAGCATTGGGTGATTTCAGTCTCACCATAGTGTCAGGACCCTGTAGCATTGGGTGATTTCAATCCCATCATAGAGTCATGGCCCTGTAGCATTGTGTGATTTCAGCCCCATCATAGTGTCAGGACTCTGTAGCATTTGGTGATTTCAGTCCCATCATAGAGTCAGGACCCTGTAGCATTTGGTGATTTCAGTCCCATCATAGTGTCATGACCCTGTAGCATTGGGTGATTTCAGTCCCTTCATAGTGTCATGGCCCTGTAGCATTTGGTGATTTCAGTCCCATCAAAGAGTCATGGCCTTGTAACATTGGGTGATTTCAGTCCCATCATAGAGTCAGGACCCTGTAACATTGGGTTATTTCAGTCCCATCATAGAGTCATGGCCCTGTAGCATTGGGTGATTTCAACTCTTCATAGTGTCATGGCCCTGTAGCATTCGGTGATTTCAGTCCCATCATAGTGTCAGGACCCTGTAGCATTGTGTGATTTCAGTCCCCATCATAGAGTCATGGCCCTGTAACATTGGGTGATTTCAGCTCCATGAGATAGTCATGTCCCTGTAGCATTGGGTGATTTCAGTCCCATCATAGTGTCATGGCCCTGTAGCATTGGGTGATTCAGTTCCATCATAGTGTCATGGCCCTGTAGCATTTTGTCATTTTAGTCCCATCATAGAGTCATGGCCCTGTAACATTGGGTGATTTCAGTCCCATAATAGTGTCAGGGCCCTGTAGCATTGGTTGATTTCAGTCCCATCATAGAGTCATGGCCCTGTAGCATTGGGTGATTTCAGTCCCATCATAGAGTCATGGCCCTGTAGCATTCGTTGATTTCAGTCCCATCATAGAGCCCTGGCCCTGTAACATCGGGTGATTTCAGTCCCATCATAGTGTCAGGACCCTGTAGCATTGGGTGATCTCAGTCTAATTACAGTGTCAGGATCCTGTAGTATTGGTTGATTTCAGTTCCATCATAGTGTCAGGACCCTGTAACATTGGGTGATTTCAGTCCCATCATAGAGTCATGGCCCTTTAGCATTCGGTGATTTCAGTTCCATCATAGTGTCAGGACCCTGTAACATTGGGTGATTTCAGTCCCATCATAGAGTCATGGCCCTGTAGCATTGAGTGATTTCAGTCCCATCATAGAGTCAGGACCCTGTAGCATTGGGTGATTTCAGTCCAATCATAGATTCAGGACCCTGTAGCATTGGGTGATTTCAGTCCCATCATAGTGTCATGGCCCTGTAGGATTGGGTGATTTCAGTCCCATCATAGAGTCATGGCCCTGTAGCATTGGATGATTTCAGTCCCATCATAGAGTCATGGCCCTGTAGCATTGGGTGATTTCAGTCCCATCATAGAGTCATGGCCCTGTAGCATCTGGTGATTTCAGTCCAATCATAGAGTCATGGCCCTGTAGCATTGTGTGATTTCAGCCCCATCATGGCCCTGTAGCATTGTGTGATTTCAGCCCCATCATAGTGTCAGGACCCTTTAGCATTGGGTGATTTCAGTCCCATCATAGTGTCAGGATCCTGTAACATTTGATGATTTCAATCCCATCATAGAGTCATGGCCCTGTAGCATTGGGTGATTTCAGTCCCATCATAGAGTCATGGCCCTGTAACATCGGGTGATTTCAGTCCCATCATAGTGTCAGGACTCTGTAGCATTTGGTGATTTCAGTCCCATCATAGAGTCAGGACCCTGTAGCATTTGGTGATTTCAGTCCCATCATAGTGTCATGACCCTGTAGCATTGGGTGATTTCAGTCCCTTCATAGTGTCATGGCCCTGTAGCATTTGGTGATTTCAGTCCCATCAAAGAGTCATGGCCTTGTAACATTGGGTGATTTCAGTCCCATCATAGAGTCAGGACCCTGTAGCATTGGGTGATTTCAGTCCCATCATAGAGTCATGGCCCTGTAACATCGGGTGATTTCAGTCCCATCATAGTGTCAGGACCCTGTAGCATTTGGTGATTTCAGTCCCATCATAGTGTCATGACCCTGTAGCATTGGTTGCTTTCAGTCCCATCATAGAGTCATGGCCCTGTAGCATTGGGTGATTTCAGTCCCTTCATAGTGTCATGGCCCTGTAGCATTTGGTGATTTCAGTCCCATCATCGAGTCATGGCCTTGTAACATTGGGTGATTTCAGTCCCATCATAGAGTCAGGACCCTGTAGCATTGGTTGATTTCAGTCCCATCATAGTGTCAGGACCCTGTAGCATTGGGTGATTTCAGTCCCCATCATAGAGTCATGGCCCTGTAACATTGGGTGATTTCAGCCCCATGAGATAGTCATGTCCCTGTAGCATTGGGTGATTTCAGTCCCATCATAGTGTCATGGCCCTGTAGCATTGGGTGATTCAGTTCCATCATAGTGTCATGGCCCTGTAGCATTTTGTCATTTTAGTCCCATCATAGAGTCATGGCCCTGTAACATTGGGTGATTTCAGTCCCATAATAGTGTCAGGGCCCTGTAGCATTGGTTGATTTCAGTCCCATCATAGAGTCATGGCCCTGTAGCATTGGGTGCTTTCAGTCCCATCATAGAGTCATGGCCCTGTAGCATTCGTTGATTTCAGTCCCATCATAGAGCCCTGGCCCTGTAACATCGGGTGATTTCAGTCCCATCATAGTGTCAGGACCCTGTAGCATTGGGTGATCTCAGTCCAATTACAGTGTCAGGATCCTGTAGTATTGGTTGATTTCAGTTCCATCATAGTGTCAGGACCCTGTAACATTGGGTGATTTCAGTCCCATCATAGAGTCATGGCCCTTTAGCATTCGGTGATTTCAGTCCCATCAAAGAGTCATGGCCCTGTAACATTGGGTGATTTCAGCCCCATCATAGTGTCATGGCCCTGTAGCATTGAGTGATTTCAGTCCCATCATAGAGTCAGGACCCTGTAGCATTGGGTGATTTCAGTCCAATCATAGATTCAGGACCCTGTAGCATTGGGTGATTTCAGTCCCATCATAGTGTCATGGCCCTGTAGGATTGGGTGATTTCAGTCCAATCATAGAGTCATGGCCCTGTAGCATTGGATGATTTCAGTCCCATCATAGAGTCATGGCCCTGTAGCATTGGGTGATTTCAGTCCCATCATAGAGTCATGGCCCTGAAGCATTGGGTGATTTCAGTCCCATCATAGAGTCATGGCCCGGTAGCATTGTGTGATTTCAGCCCCATCATGGCCCTGTAGCATTGTGTGATTTCAGCCCCATCATAGTGTCAGGACCCTTTAGCATTGGGTGATTTCAGTCCCATCATAGTGTCAGGATCCTGTAACATTTGATGATTTCAATCCCATCATAGAGTCATGGCCCTGTAGCATTGGGTGATTTCAGTCCCATCATAGAGTCATGGCCCTGTAACATCGGGTGATTTCAGTCCCATCATAGTGTCAGGACCCTGTAGCATTGGGTGATCTCAATCCCATGATAGTGTCAGGATCCTGTAGCATTGGTTGATTTCAGTCCCATCATAGTGTCAGGGCCCTGTAACATTGGGTGATTTCAGTCCCATCATAGAGTCATGGCCCTGTAGCATTGGGTGATTTCAGTCCCATCAAAGACTCATGGCCCTGTAACATTTGGTGATTTCAGTCCCATCATAGAGTCTTGGCCCTGTTGCATTGGGTGATTTCAGTCCCACCATAGTGTCAGGACCCTTTAGCATTGGGAGATTTCAGTCCCATCATGGCCCTGTAACATTGTGTGATTTCAGCCCCATCATAGAGTCAGGCCCCTTTAGCACTGGGTGATTTCAGTCCCATCATCGAGTCATGGCCTTGTAATATTGGTTGATTTCAGTCCTATCATAGTGTCAGGACCCTGTAACATTGGGTTATTTCAGTCCCATCATAGAGTCAGGACCCTGTAACATATGGTGATTTCAGCCCCATCATAGTGTCAGGACCCTGTAACATTTGATGATTTCAATCCCATCATAGTGTCATGGCCTTGTAGCAATGGGTGATTTGAGTCCCATCATAGTGTCAGGACCCTGTAACATAGGGTGGTTTCAGTCCCATCATAGAGTCAGGACCCTGTAACATTGGGTGATTTCAGTCCAATCATAGAGTCATGACCCTGTAACATTTGGTGATTTCAGCCCCATCATAGTGTCACGACCCTGTAACATTGGGTGATTTCAGTCCCATCATAGAGTCATGGCCCTGTAACATTGGGTGATTTCAGTCCTATCCTAGTGTCAGGACCCTATAACATTGGGTGATTTTAGTCTCATCATAGAGTCATGGCCCTGTAACATTGGGTGATTTCATTCCCATCATAGTGTCATGGCCCTGTAGCATTGGGTGATTTCAGTCCCTTCATAGTGTCATGGCCCTGTAGCATTCGGTGGTTTCAGTCCCATCATAGTGTCAGGACCCTGTAACATTGGGTGATTTCAGTCCGAACATGAAGTCATGGCCCTGTAGTATTGGGTGATTTCAGTCCCATCATAGTGTCAGGACCCTGTAACATCGGGTGATTCAGTCCCATCATAGTGTCATGGCCCTGTAGCATTTGGTGATTTCAGTCCAAGCATAGTAACAGGACCCTGAAGCATTGGTTGATTTCAGCCACAAAAGTGTGAAAATGGATTGGTAAACAAGCGAAGTGCTTGTTGATACCGCTCCATTACACATAGGACATATTTCAATAAATACATCAATGAAGGTTAGATGTAACAAATGAAATGTAAATGCCAAGCTAGATTTGTATATATAATAAATCTATTTGCAGTTTATATTAAACAATTCATTTAACTGAAAATCTGACAGTTTTTAATATGAAGTTTTGGACAGAAATTAATGTTAGGATATAACTGCGCCTTGCTTGTTAAAAGTTCCTAAAATGTTTGCATTCCTGTCCAAAATTTTGCACACAAATGTCATAGTAGAACCATAGTGTGTACTATCGCCATCTATCATGAAAGGCGGTATTTCATTTGTTCTGAAGTCCTACATACCTTGGAAAGCTGCACCTGCAATCAGAATGCAATCTGTGGTGGAATGAACATGTCTGGCGCAATAGGCTGGCGAGATGCAGCTACAGCACGTTCGGCGCTGGTGTAACATGCAGGTTGAGGGTTCATCATGCCGTAAATAAGAAGCCACACCCACAGGATGTGTGGAGTGAATACTGTTACCTTGGGGATGCTACTTCTATCTGTTATCGTCCAGTTGTATGCTTATCATATGTTTGCCTTCAACCACACAGAATTAACAGTGAATGTATTGACGCAGCAGGACAACAACAAGTACATGTACCGTCTTTTAACGGCTTTTGGTATGACGCGGCCTGGGATCTAACTTTGTTTTAGCATATACTGTCATACGTGTATGCTGTCACCTTACACATTTCCAGCACATAAACCAGTCTATCTTCATATATTTCTTATTTGTAACATAAATGTACGAATGTCCTCATGTAACCTAATTTCTATAAATCTTATAAAGAGTGGCGAGTTTAAGGACCTCATTGTTTTCAACTACAAGTCATGATCATCGGCGCTGAATTTCTGCATTGTTGATCCGAGAAATAGTTTCTCCCACATTACAAATATTCTCCAGACATGTTTATTTGGGAGTCCATGACAGCCGTAAAATGAAGCTTGGTCTTAAGCACCCCATGCTTGTCCACTACAGGGATCGGGATGTCAGACTTGCTGACTAGGTTGATGCATGCCGTTTTGCGTCCATTGATCATCATGATGGTATCACTGAATTGACTGGAATACTGCTGTGAGCGAAACAAGAAACAAACAAACAAACAAATTAAATGAAACGTTTCGCGTGGGTCCAGCGATCCTAAAACTTTAATTACCGTTTTGTTTGCGTTTGTATTTCTTTGTATTTATCCAGGTTCCACTTTGTCAGCGTTTATCATTATGAAAAGATCTTCGCTGAAACAATAGGCTTTGACGTTTTATATTTATGTGAGGAAAAAAGAATACCCAGATAACATGTAGGATCTCTTTCAGGTGGAATTCTTGTCTTATGTTCTCTAGGACTGACAATCTCTGTGAAACAGCTGGAGCTCAGTGACATATCACGGAAGTGTATAACTAGTTTAGGAGAGATTCGACCTGAAGGGCCACGGCTAATTATGTGTCACTGTGTCGTCAATCTGTTTGTGTGACTAGAATGAGAGGTGTGGTATTGCTGGAGTAGAATACAGTTGGTATACATATATACATGTAGCTCTCTTGTGATGTGCTTACATTACACGCACGAGATTAGGGAATGAAGTATCATCACGTGACGAAGCTCACAACAGAATCTACAATGCGGTTACATTACACGTACAGCGAGGAACATATATTTAAGAATGGTAATTACAGTTTGTTTCTTTGCATAGTTTTTGTTATATCTTAATAAACGTCAAATATGAACGAATCACTGACCATCAGTGATAACACTTGGTGTTCGCGAAAAGGGAAAGTATGTCGTGCACTTGAGACAGCAGGTAAGATTCATAATGACAATGCTCATGGTTCTTTAATGACACTTAACTGCAGGATTTTACATTTCAGACTTATATTTGGAGTTTATTTGATGAAGAATTCAGTACAATTTTCAAACAGATCATTTTGATACAATTCAGATGACTATATTGCCAATTAACATACAAATATGATATATGCATTGTATAAAGATACATTGGAAATACAGACTTGTAAAGAAGCGTCTTCAAATGGTTTGGGTATAACATTCGCTGATTTCTACTTACAGAAAAGCCTGCACGAATTCTTAGAAAGAAACAAATACGTGCTGTTCATGGAATTGTTTGAACTATAAATAGTGCGATAGTAACAGAGAAGCAATGATGGAGCCAATGACAACAGCCATCGCCGATGCAGACCGTGAGCAGCTGCTGGTCGTGACGCTGATCTCGTCAGACATCACCGTGTTCCACCATGTTCGTAGACTCTTGACAACCGTAGCCCTGGAAAATAACGTGATACTTACAAAGGGAGCAGCATAAAGTCTTTTGTATGGAATCCTAGAAGGGACATGGTCGCCCTTTCAAAAACAAGCAAGAAGTGTCAAAATTAACCAAATGGCGACAATACGACACTTTTTGCTTGTTTTTTGCAAGGCGACAATGCGAAAATGTCCCTTCTAAAATTCCATACTTTTGGCATAAATGACATGGCATGATGGTGGTGGGGTATGCATAAGCAGAACATATATAATCGGGTTCTGGCACGGTAGAATGGTAACAAAGTTCTACATAAAAAACAGCATCTTTATATCCATTCTACTATGACAATATTAATGAGTGAAGCGGAATAGATTTGAGTATGTTGTCGACGTAAATGAAGAAAGCCTGATATCGCCTCCAAACAAAGTATGTATCTGTATATACTCAAACAATGTTTTTACATCAATATGCTTTACACTCATGTAAGGACACTGAAAATATGTAAGCTACTTCGTAAGCAAACATGAAGTTGTCACCCCTAAAGAAAATGAAGCATGTTTTGCAAGGTTTACCTGAGGATGTCTGTGAGGCACACGTCATGACGAGTTACTGTGATTAATAAACCTCTGTCTGGCCAATCAGAATCGGGTATTTTTCAAAGTCATGGTAGAATGGACGTTTATCTCTTATGGACAATGTTACACGATCACGCATCCATAGAATGTATGCTGAGAACGTCTTCAGCATTTGACAATGTATCAACATGGTTGACAAATACCAGGGCGGTGAGTTCATGCCATAATTGGTTGGTGTTTAACGTACCTGAACTTGATACCCTGTGACACGTCGTAACCAGCTGGTACCTTCCAGGTGAACATAACTGACTTCTTCTTAAATTCACTTGTGTGGGTGATGGAGTTCTAAGAATGAAAACACAAAACACGATACGCATCTTTGTTCAACGTTTCATGCTCTGTACTTTTGTTGAATCGTTGAGGTCAGAAGATATTTCTATAAGATTCAGCCAAGCCTTTGAAAACGTCACTGTGCTTAATAGGGCAACCAAACGTTATTGTGCTTCTTAGGGCAACCATAGTCTGAACACGTTACTGTGCTTATTATGGCAACCATACTTTGAACATGTTACTATGCTTCGTAGGGCAACCAGAGTTTGAACACGTTATTGCGCTTCTTAGGACAACACTACTTTGAACACGTGAATGTGCTTATTAGGGCAACCGTAGTTTGAACACGTTACTGTGCTTCTTAGGACAACACTACTTTGAATACGTGAATGTGCTTATTAGGGAAACCGTAGTTTGAACACGTTACTGTGCTTCTTATGGCAACCAGAGTTTGAACACGTGAATGTGCTTATTAGGGCAACAATACTTTGAACAAGTTACTGTGCTTCTTAGGACAACCAGAGTTTGAAAACGTCACTGTGCTTATCAGGGCAACCATTCATTGAACACGTTATTGTGCTTCTCAGGGCAACCATTATTTGAACAAGTTATTGTGCTTCTTAGGGCAACCATAGTTTGAACACGTTACTGTGCTTCCTAAGGCAACCATACTTTGAACACATTACTGTGTTTCTTAGGGCAACCATACTTTGAAAACGTTACTGTGCTTCTTAGGACAACCATAGTTTGAACACGTTACTGTGCTTCCTAAGGCAACCATACTTTGAACACATTACTGTGTTTCTTAGGGCAACCATACTTTGAAAATGTTACTGTGCTTCTTTGAATACAATAATGGTTGCAAACATACCTTGGTGACATTTAAACAGTCCATGGTTTGAATAGTACCATCCGAGGCGGTATACTTGGCAAAGGTCCCGGGCACTATGGCAGTGTCGGCGGTGCTACACTTGGTACAGCGGGCTTGGACCAGGAAACCCTCGAAGTATCCGTCGGTGGCAGTTGCGTTCAGGGTGACTGAAATATACAAGACACATACAGAGTAATACGAGAGAGGCACCATCGTGGCAACCAAAAGCTTTCAGGTTAACGTTTGATCTGATTATTAAGTCAAATCGGCGTAGACAGGTAGAACTTATACAAATATCTGCCGCCAACAATTTCTACAAAAATTCACAGACACAGATATTTTGGTTGACATCTATGTATGCAATAAGCAAACATGAACACATTTTACGTTCGATAGCTAAATCGTTAAATATAAGCTCATCAAAGGGCACATGGTCATCACTAAAAGCGTCCTGAAATTGGTTCCGGATGGTATCACAGGCAGTAAAGTCCAGCAGAAAGCTAAATAGATTATTATCCCATGGTTGAATTTGGATGCACATTGACATTTTCAGATATTAATCGAAGTTCATTTAGTTACATTGGGGGATAAGGGTTTGAGGTGTAAAATGTTCCACTTGTCTGCCTGTACCATCGACGTACTGGCCTCAGCCCCTTGCAGTTCTCGAACCATTCTGCCAAGCCTGGCGCCACAATAAGCCATAGGGTTACTGCCAACTGATGAGTCACAGGAAGGTCCCCTTGTCCCGCTCTAGCGTGCCTTGCATGTTGGCTTGTTGAGAATCAATAGCCTATCTGCGGCTTTACACATTGGAACAGTGATGCAAACTTTGATATGTGAGCAGCAAATATTATTCACTTTTGTGTCATCTTAATGTATCAGTTTAATCCAACTTTTTGGGTTGATACTAAAAAATATAATCAAAGTTTATTTTAGCTAGCATGAATATTATAAAATACTAAGCAAGTCTAAGCTTATAATTCCCTCTACTCCCGCTAAAGGTCCTGATTTTGGCTAAGGTACATTTTAGTCTGTCTCACAGTCGCTGAACCATATCATTTTCCCTTCAGCTAAGCCCTTCTGTAATGCAAATGCCCTTGAAGAATGTCTAGATTTTCCTCAGGAATCTCCCATCTCACTGGATCTCCGTTTCAATTAAGGCGATCTGGGGTACATTCCTGTTTTCTGAAATGTTCCTGGGTTACATATCTGTAGTACCCGTGACTACAAGACACCTTCAGTTCTACTCCCCCATGCGGTTGATCCACCAGCCTGCTCACTTTTACCCTGTTCCCCACAGTATTGCGAACAAATGTGATTTGAGTGTCAAGTTGTCAGAGATCACATACGGTCAGGGTGTCGGAGAAGATGTAAATTTTGAACAGCCAGGTATGAAATGTTAGTCGGGTCGCCAGAGGGGATGTAACTTTGAGTAGCCAGGGATAATACGACATACAATGACAAACACTTAACCGTCAATTATGGGGCAGTTCAGTAGGCGCATACTGTGTATCTAGCTCCACAGTGAAAACACACTGTCAACATGTATATCTCCATTCTACCATGAAAAAAATATTAAACTGTTAGCAAAGAGACTCAGTGAAGCGACCAAGGACTAGTCGACTATTTTCAATTGGTTGCCGATCTGAATTAAGGGACCGCTGATGATAGACTTCGAAGAAAGAATTAAGGGCACCAGGTACAGAGTGAATGAAGGGGGCCCGGTATGGAGTGAATTAAGGGGGCCCGGTATGGAGTGAATGAAGGGGGCCCCGGTATGGAGTGAATGAAGGGGACCCGGTACAGAGTGAATGAAGGGGGCCCGGTATGGAGTGAATGAAGGGGACCCGGTACAGAGTGAATGAAGGGGGCCCGGTATGGAGTGAATGAAGGGGGCCCGGTATGGAGTGAATGAAGGGGGCCCGGTATGGAGTGAATGAAGGGGGCCCGGTACAGAGTGAATGAAGGGGGCCCGCTATGGAGTGAATGAAGGGGGCCCGGTATGGTGTGAATGAAGAGGGCCCGGTATGGAGTGAATGAAGGGGACCCTGTACAGAGTGAATGAAGAGCGGGTATGGTGTGAATGAAGGGGGCCCGGTATGGTGTGAATGAAGGGGGCCCGGTATGGAGTGAATGAAGGGGACCCTGTACAGAGTGAATGAAGGGGGCCCGGTATGGAGTGAATGAAGGGGGCCCGGTATGGAGTGAATGAAGGGGACCCTGTACAGAGTGAATGAAGGGGGCCCGGTATGGAGTGAATGAAGGGGGCCCGGTATGGAGTGAATGAAGGGGGCCCGGTATGGAGTGAATTAAGGGGGCCCGGTATGGTGTGAATGAAGAGGGCCCGGTATGGTGTGAATGAAGGGGGCCCGGTATGGTGTGAATGAAGAGGGCCCGGTATGGAGTGAATGAAGGGGGCCCGGTACAGAGTGAATGAAGAGGGCCCGGTATGGAGTGAATGAAGGGGACCCGGTACAGAGTGAATGAAGGGGACCCGGTACAGAGTGAAGGAAGGGGGCCCGGTATGGGGTGAATGAAGGGGACCCGGTACAGAGTGAATGAAGGGGGCCCGCTATGGGGTGAATGAAGGGGACCCGGTACAGAGTGAATGAAGGGGGCCCGCTATGGGGTGTATGAAGGGGACCCGGTACAGAGTGAATGAAGGGGGCCCGCTATGGGGTGAATGAAGGGGACCCGGTACAGAGTGAAGGAAGGGGGCCCGGTATGGAGTGAAGGAAGGGGACCCGGTACAGAGTGAATGAAGGGGGTCCGCTATGGGGTGAATGAAGGGGACCCGGTACAGAGTGAATGAAGGGGACCCGGTACAGAGTGAAGGAAGGGGGCCCGGTATGGGGTGAATGAAGGGGACCCGGTACAGAGTGAAGGAAGGGGGCCCGGTATGGGGTGAATGAAGGGGACCCGGTACAGAGTGAAGGAAGGGGACCCGGTACAGAGTGAATAAAGGGGGCCCGCTATGGGGTGAATGAAGGGGACCCGGTACAGAGTGAAGGAAGGGGACCCGGTACAGAGTGAATGGAGGGGACCCGGTACAGAGTGAATGAAGGGGGCCCGGTACAGAGTGAAGGAAGGGGGCCCGCTATGGGGTGAATGAAGGGGACCCGGTACAGAGTGAAGGAAGGGGACCCGGTACAGAGTGAAGGAAGGGGACCCGGTACAGAGTGAAGGAAGGGGACCCGGTACAGAGTGAAGGAAGGGGACCCGGTACAGAGTGAAGGAAGGGGACCCGGTACAGAGCGAAGGAAGGGGACCCGGTACAGAGTGAAGGAAGGGGACCCGGTACAGAGTGAATGAAGGGGACCCGGTACAGAGTGAATGAAGGGGACCCGGTACAGAGTGAAGGAAGGGGACCCGGTACAGAGTGAAGGAAGGGGACCCGGTACAGAGTGAAGGAAGGGAGCCCGCTATGGGGTGAAGGAAGGGGACCCGGTACAGAGTGAATGAAGGGGACCCGGTACAGAGTGAAGGAAGGGGACCCGGTACAGAGTGAAGGAAGGGGACACGGTACAGAGCGAAGGAAGGGGACCCGGTACAGAGTGAAGGAAGGGGACCCGGTACAGAGTGAAGGAAGGAGACCCGGTACAGAGTGAAGGAAGGGGGCCCGGTACAGAGTGAAGGAAGGGGACCCGGTACAGAGCGAAGGAAGGGGACCCGGTACAGAGTGAAGGAAGGGGACCCGGTACAGAGTGAAGGAAGGGGGCCCGCTATGGGGTGAAGGAAGGGGACCCGGTACAGAGTGAATGAAGGGGACCCGGTACAGAGTGAAGGAAGGGGACCCGGTACAGAGTGAAGGAAGGGGACCCGGTACAGAGCGAAGGAAGGGGACCCGGTACAGAGTGAAGGAAGGGGACCCGGTACAGAGTGAAGGAAGGGGGCCCGGTACAGAGTGAAGGAAGGGGACCCGGTACAGAGTGAAGGAAGGGGGCCCGGTACAGAGTGAAGGAAGGGGACCCGGTACAGAGTGAATGAAGGGGACCCGGTACAGAGTGAAGGAAGGGGACCCGGTACAGAGTGAATGAAGGGGGTCCGCTATGGGGTGAAGGAAGGGGACCCGGTACAGAGTGAAGGAAGGGGACCCGGTACAGAGTGAAGGAAGGGGACCCGGTACAGAGCGAAGGAAGGGGGCCCGGTACATCATATCATTGTACAAGTTACAGTGGAGCCTTGGCACTGTAGTTTCAGGACACGTAGAACGGGTTTGCAAACACGAATTTCATAATAGATTAATACTGGCTTCTTAGCCCGCAAGAGGAATGTGCGGTACAATAACACGGGACAATTAAATAACACATTCACTTTTTCGGTTTAGAGTATATCAGCTTTTCTCGAGATGGTCCATTTCTAAGATTCTGTTGCATGTACTCATTTCTTAAACTGGCATATTAAAAGTACGTGATGTTCTTCTTTATTTGGGTGGTTACAGCATGAACAGGGCGATTTTCAATTGCAGGGCTTTTTAAAAATCTAACTGCTCTAATGTTAAAAGTACGTATATTGCATCTAAATTTCGTTAAGACTCCACGGATATATATTGATATTTACCTTTAATCATCTCTTTTGCGTCAAAATTGCCAACAGGAATAATTCGAAGCTATCTGGTCTTATCTATAATGTCTTTTGAGTAAAATCAACAAAACAAAGGACTGTATTTCTTGCATTTATGACACTTTTATTACAATAGGCAATAATATTATTTGAATTGACCAATTGTCATAAAAACAATAAATGGCTTTATCATAAAAATATCGAATAATCTTAGAGACCTATATATTAAAAAATGGAATTCTGACCTGGAACATCGAGGAAAAGCAGATTCTACAAGGCAATTGAAAATTATCCACAAAATTTATCTAATAAATGGGAAACTAGTTTAGTTCGTTTCAGACTTTCTTGTCACCGTCTACCTGATGAAGCAGGTAGAAGGCAGAACATTACTCTCATAAAAAGAAAATGTATATTATGTCTATCAAATGGAACTGCAGATGAATATCATTATTTGTTTAATTGTGTGTATTTCAATGAAACAAGAAGTTTCCTATCTCCTTCTTACATGAACCTACTACAAGTTCTCTACATGACCAAGTTATTTCTAAGTATATAAAACATATACTTTCTGTCGCCACAATACATTTAACACATCTATTGTATATTTTGCCGCCATGGCATAAAATAATAGACCCCTGTTAACTCCTCATTGTGGTATGTGGATAGAGTTCTATTCTTTTCTGGCCGTCAAACCAGGTGTTTCAGTCTGAGGTGGTTTTGTGATCTTTTTATGAGACTAGCGTGAGTAGCAGCTGCGCAGTCATAGATGAAATATCATCTACAGACGAGTTCATAACCTGACGAAAGTTTTCTCATGTCAGTACAATGTTTTGACGCATTTACTTCGTTACCATATGTTCTCGTGGTTTTTTAGGTGATCAATTGACTCGCCTTTGCTTGTGTTTTTTGACATGTGTGGGGCAGAATACGCTCACCTTTTCACGAACACCATAGTGATTCATAAAAACACATGCCCATGATGTAGTCGGAATCGTACACTCGCCTCTACTACTAGTAGAGATTTCTTATGAATATGGAAAGGGTTTTGTTTGGCGAAAGGTTTGTCATGTGAGAACAGTGTCATTCTCCTTCCTTAGAGCCACCAGAAGTTGTTATACTTTGCTCGAACGTGTATGATTTCTTATGAGTACGGAAAGGGTCGCAGCAAAAAAGGTTTCCGTTTTCAGGAAACCTTCCGGATACCTTCCCACTTTTAATAGGGCCTTATCTTCCAGAACCTACCAGTAACCATCCCTCCCTTTTTGACAGAGTTTGTATCCACGAAGAGTGAGTATGGCGGCGTTGAGTTCTGGGCGATGGTACCATCATGTTGAGGAGTGAGGTTGATGCAGGCTGGAGGTCCTGCTGCTGTAGAGTAGCCTAGGACCAGAGCGGGCAGGGCACAGGCGATAAGGAGGACGATGCACGCAGCCATCTAGAATGATGTCATCATTTATCAAGTCTTGGATGAAATTTATTTCAGTAATGCTTTTGTTAATTTAAGTCATGGTAAAGGCTTGATGTGCTTATCACAACAAAATCCTCAAGAGCTAGTCATAATTAGTTGACATGATCCCGACACACACAGGTAAGCAAAATAATTATTACTTGATTGTTTGTTTGTTTGGGGTATATTGGTTAAGAGGGAATTAGTAATAGCTACAACGCTGATAGTTGTATCGTAGTAAAGTCAAAAGCTAGGATTTTTGTAAGGGACAGAATATATTTTGGGTAAGTGCTTCAAGATAAACATTGTTTCCTGTGGAACAGAAGAATAATGTTTCTTAAACCCATTTTCATGACTTGTCCAGCGAAAACATATTTTTGTTGCAAAACCGGATGCTTAAATATGTTTGTTTTTTGGCAAAATCGTCGCAGCTTCCACACCACCCCGCACCGCGAAGAGTGAGTGAGTATGGTTTTACACCGCTCTTAGCAATAGTCAAGCAATTTAACGGCGTGGGACACCAGAAATGGGCTTTACACATGTGGGGAATCGAACCCGGCTTTTTAGACCTGACGAGCGAACGCTTTTATCACTAGTCTACCCCACCGCCCCATCCCGTAGGGTTTTCCTCCTGAAACATGAAACCGACACGATATGTTTTGTAAGTGACTCTTCAAAGAAGCATTTAACCGCACTCCAAAGTCCGCCGTGACGACAGTGCCTGACCTATATGTCTTTCACGCCTCAGGAAACTGTATTACAAATCGGCAACTTTGCCTGAACGTTACTGAACCTGACACAACGATAGACATTCATCTCTGTACAAGTGGGGCATCTTTCACCGTCTGTGTTTCTGGATGGGTAAGCAGCTAAAGCTGGGCCAGCTAAAGTGACGAGTCATCGTTGTATGAGTAACTCAAGGATTGCGTGGGGACCGACCGATAGAGTCTTTTGAGCAATGGGGCCCTGGATCTGTATTCTAGACCTTGGTAACCTATATAGGAATGCCACGTACACACTGCATGTTCGCCATTGAAACATTCTGAAAACTAAAACCTGAGGTTCCTCAATGTTAATACGGTGCTAACTGATTTCTCTATTCATACAACTTTGACTTATTTTCTATGAATTTTAATCTTCAAACAACGACTACAAATGCACACTCGCAGAGTAAATAATATAGAATACAATAATAGACTTTGTAAAAGTGTTCCAAGTATTGGTTTATTTAAAGGCATATGACTTATGTCAACGTACAAAAGGTTAAGGTACAAGTTGACAACCTACTAAGCCATCTAACATCTAAATTAATGAATCATTGGCACGGAGTAATATTTGCTTACTCTAATATGATGGGGTTTTTATTTATTGGATTTAAAATAACATGTTCGTAGTAATTGCGTACGGTAAAACCTCACAAGTCGGGACTGTATCATACATAATGCAATCTTCCAAGGGTCCGTTCCACAAAGGGGTCTTAGCGCAAAGGTGATCGTAACTCCCATACTTTAACATAGACTTACGACTGTCGTAGCGCTACGATCGCTTTGTGGAACGGGACCCTAGATTACCACGTTTCTGGTTTAACGAATTATAGACAGGGAGTAACATTTATTTAGATGTACATCACCACACTAACCAGGTCATTGTACAGAATTCGGCATACATGGGCCTGTTACATCACCAAACAGTGATAAAATCACAGTGAAAATGAGATGACACGTCTGTTGAACTATTGTGGCATTTCTAAACAGATTAACATAAAAATTACATGCTATATTCCAGAAATAAGTTCAAAGTATGCTAATCCACAGTGTGCGTTAGACACATTTGTGTAGTTAATGTTGATCGCAGGGTAAAGAAGACATTTTAAGTCAATTACTTTGCCCATGTTTCCCAGTTACATTGACATATGTCGAAAGGTTATGTCTACACTCAATGATTTGATGACAACTTGATGACATTAACTTTCAAAATACTTGCATTTGTCAATTAATATTTTACCCTCAGCAAACACTTAAATACCATGGAAATAAATATCAATGTTATTGTATACAATTTTGTAAGTTAGTTTCTAACATATAATTCCAATTATATATAATTTATGACGGGTAGCATGCACTGTTTGTTATGTATATATGTAATGAAGCTAATATTGGCACCAGTCACATTGTTCACCAATCCTGCCCTTGTTCATACATTGATATAGGTTTAGCTAAAACAACGTACATAGACTTTGCTAACTCAACTAAAACGTTCCAGATACCTTTCTTCACGAGGGCCGAATCTCGAGCCTAGTCATTGTTATCAAAGCGATATAATAAACCACAGACACTAAACGAATTGATTCAGACAACCTATTTCTAGTGTTATCATCATTTAGCTAACCATATTAATAATACAAGAGGGATGTTGGGAGAACATTACTAGGTGACCAGACCATATATGATTTATATGGGTGCCCAGACAGACACAATGCCTGATATTTGACCTTCACTCACTGAGACGAGTGTACATGTTCTCACCAACCTAAGGAGAAGGTTAGCAAACAGTCCGATTTGTTCATAAAAAATATCCGGAAAGATCGTTGTGCTATGTACGGACTATTTAAAAAAAAGACAAAAATTTAAAGTAACATCAGCCACTAAAACTGATGGTGTTATGATCTACATAAGTGTACTGACCTTCGAGTTCTTTCAGACTACAGTCAAACAGCGTCGTCAGTGTGCGGGACCCAGTAGTGACTGTGATGCCAGCTCCTGAACCGGAACACGACCCAGTTTTTACGTATGTACAAAAAGCCACATTACGGGTGTAGTCTAATTTCATCTGAGCGTGATAAAAAGATGCATAGATGGCAAAACATGTAGAGGCAGGGCTACCGTGTGTAAACAGTCATTCTTAACGTGTTCAGTAAGGAATGTTCTGCATTTTTTACGTTGATTTTATAAGAAGATGAAGGTAAAGACATCACAGCTATGCGATGAAACATGTATCTCTTGAAGAAGGAAAATCGTCATTTATCCATACTTTTGAGTTGATCAAGCCTTCGGTAACGTTAACATTTGTTAGAGCACAGGCAAATACCTTCGTATAATGGGTGGACACTACTTTGATCAGGGCGAGTATATTCATATGCTGATCAAGTTCTGTAAAGTAAACATTTATATAGGCGGGAAAAACGTCTTTCGTGAAACTTGTACATTTCAGCCTGACAGGACTTAGACAACAAACAATGGATTCTTTTATTTATTTAAAACCGATATAACGCCCTGTTGTGATTGATTTTATAAATTCTACTGCCTAAAGTTCTATTGTTTAGCAATCTGGATCGCTTTGTCGCCTTGCTTAAATTTGAAAACTGTCCCTTTTCCTGGACTTGGTTGGTCATGGTAGAAAGATAGTTTTGATTCCTCACCCTGAAAATGCAAAATACAATCCCTTATATGATCAATATATCTCACGCTATCTGATAAAGAGATCTGGGGTAGCATTTCTGCATAGAAAGACTGAAGCCAATGGCTTAATTCTTCCGCCACAGTTGCGAAAAACTCAAGTGGTACGGCCATGGAGGTTCATGAACATACAAGTTTCTATTTTTAGGTATTGCCCATTCTGTCCAAATGTTAAGACCCCACTTTGTGTTAATCCTGGATTTAAACTGGTATTCGATCTGATATCGAACCATCTATCATGGCTGAAGTACTAGATGCAAAACGATCGTTATCTTTTGAGGTCGATGGTTTTTCATTTTGTAAAGTTCAAAATCAAAAAAAGTTTGTCTCAGTTCAATAACAGATAAAGTTGTATTTTCACTTGCCCGAGATGACCAAATGTCATCTAACTATCCTTGGTTTCTCATGAAATTGTGAACAAGCGAGCAATACATCATATGGAAGAATACGGGTATGCCGGGGAAGGTTGCACGAACCGTACAGTTTATATAAAATCGTGCAATCTGCTTCGATTATGAATGAGTTTGTGCCATCTGCAGTGTACAGTTCTCGGAGCCTCGCCCTTTGTTCTCGCAACAGTACGTTTATATCCCGAAAAAGTACTTCACTCGTCCGTTATTTGTTATACAGCTGCTGTGGACAATACCAGGGCAATCTACCTGGCCCTAGAGCTCGTTCTGTCTCTCTTACTGGTACTTGTGGCAACACACGAGTCGTACATCGTCATCGTAAATCGGCATGGTGTTTAGAAAAAGACTTATCAAATTTCGTGAAGCAATCTGATGAGATATAGGTGAACGACAGAAAATACACCAAATTGTTAACCTTAGCTTGCTAATGTCCTACGATTTGGTTTTGATTGGGTTATTCAAAGTTGATTTTATAATATTGTTATTTGACATGCTAGCGATCAATTATTCATTCTTAACGTTCACGTGATGTACACCACCATTGGCTCGCTTGGATTCAGCAGGCCCCGGATGTATACGGGTACATCCACACACTATGGGAGTTCCCTGTGTATAGTTTTGGCGTACCAGGACTCTCGTGTCGTTGATTCGCTAGTCGTTATTCGCCCTGGTTTTGATCCTATATGTGCTTGTGTTTCACGTGTTTCACCAAGATGACAAACATCTATAAGCTGCGACGTTTTCCTCCAATAGTAAGCTGGCATGCCTTGGTGTAACTGAGAAACTTTTCAAAACTTTGTAAATCCCAACTCGCTCACTCAGCTGAGGGAGTTTTTGTATTAACTGTGAAGGATAGAGAGTGTTGTATGTTCTTGAATAAGTGGTTGTCACGTGCAATGTAGGAACATGGCATGGTGGAGGTCAGGCTGGTTAGTGGTGGACACGTGCAATGTAGGAACATGGCATGGTGGAGTTCAGGCTGGTTAGTGGTGGACACGAGCACTGTAGGAACATGGCATGGTGGAGTTCAGGCTGGTTAGTGGTGGACACGTGCACTGTAGGAACATGGCATGGTGGAGTTCAGGCCGGTTAGTGGTGGACACGTGCACTGTAGGAACATGGCATGGTGGAGTTCAGGCTGGTTAGTGGTGGACACGTGCACTGTAGGAACATGGCATGGTGGAGTTCAGGCTGGTTAGTGGTGGACACGTGCACTGTAGGAACATTGCATGGTGGAGTTCAGGCTAGTTAGTGGTGGACACGTGCACTGTAGGAACATGGCATGGTGGAGTTCAGGCTGGTTAGTGGTGGACCCGTGCACTGTAGGAACATGGCATGGTGGAGTTCAGGCTAGTTAGTGGTGGACACGTGCACTGTAGGAACATGGCATGGTGGAGTTCAGGCTGGTTAGTGGTGGACACGTGCACTGTAGGAACATGGCATGGTGGAGTTCAGGCTGGTTGTGGTGGACACGTGCACTGTAGGAACATGACATGGTGGAGTTCAGGTTGGTTTGTGGTGGACACGTGCACTGTAGGAACATGGCATGGTGGAGTTCAGGCTGGTTGTGGTGGACACGTGCACTGTAGGAACATGGCATGGTGGAGTTCAGGTTGGTTTGTGGTGGACACGTGCACTGTAGGAACATGGCATGGTGGAGTTCAGGTTGGTTTTTGGTGGACAAGTATGCTATGTCTTCAGGGCATCTGTCCTAGCACATGGAACATGTGTACCTGTGTTTACCTGACTAGCAGTCACATAGATTGAGATAGCACATTTGGCCATTTTTTCACTAATATCCACGGTTCTTTAAAAAAACCTTTTCTTCAAAAATCATTCAGAGTATTATCAGCTGTTTTTATTAGTTAAGCTACATATATAAACGCGTACTTTTGACATATACACTCTGAAGATAACAGTGATTAATGATCGATATTCAACTCAGCTGATCATTCCTCTGTTGCTGCGCTGCCACCTACATATTACATAACATGTAATACATTCACCACAGCAGACCTAGATTATTATGCCAATCTTTGATCACATAAGTACCCCGGACCCGAGAAATATGAATTGGGAACCTTTGTCGGATAATCTGAGTGGTGCTATCACTAATTATACATATAATAATTCATTAACTGTGCATCAAGTGAATGACGACAAATACACAGGTGTAGACGTGAAACATGGATGACAACAATAGGCTAGTAATAGTTGTGTTATGAGCAGTTTAGTTGACTGAAAAATAAGGATTGTTGTGTCTTGAGTATATGAACTGAACGTCATGGTTGCAAAAATAATATATAATTGGACATACACATTTTATTTAATGGTTTGTTTTTATTATGCCCCGCCCAAAGGAAGTTTTGCACTGGATTCAGACAGCTTTTTCGTCACGCTTAGTTTCCTGGACATAACTCATAGACCATTCAATATTTCTGCTTCTTATGGCAACGAGTTGGACTTCAAACGAGGATAGGGATCGTTTCCAGAGCATAACTCATAATGTTTCTTATTTCTTTGTATCATTCAAGTGCTGAACTGGTGGGTTTTGTTATTGAGGCGTCTTTTTAGATATTGCGTTAAAATTCAACTAATGTTGAAATGAGGGTTTCATTTTGCGGTTTAACCCTCTGTCATAATGTCAGTTGTACGCACAAACCTTTTGTGGTATAATGAGGCTTGTGACATATACAGTGTTTGACATCCGATAGTCGATAGAATATGATAATCATGCAATAACATAATGGGGTTTCATTTACGGCCTCTGATAAATCAAATGTGTATTTTTAATACAATAGGTCTATTGACATGTCCTGATTAATATCAAGCTGTGAAACACAGACATGACATGAGGGTAGAAACCAGAGCCTAGTGCCCCTTTTAGATTCAATACCCTCTGTATCAGTATCTTAGTACTGACTAGTAGTTGTCAGTGCTGCTAACTTGTGAATATTCGCCTGTTAGACGTATCTCATGCTGTGTGAGTTTGATATTGTATCTGTTCACGTAAAACCACAATGCGTCAGCTTAGTTTTATTGCTTAGTGTTAATAAATCCTTAAACTTCAGTTTGTTTTATCTTTGTCGGTCTGTCAAGTTATTCATTGCTGACTTGTACTTGTATCAACACCTCTGGACAATTACGAGTCGGCCCCTCTGTGGTTGAGGCGTTACTTCAGTTTTGGCGGCGTAATCGTCAGTACCGTGACACATGCATGTCCGGCCGTCGTGAAGGTATGACCCACTGCGGTCAGGTAGGACATGGAATGTCACTATAGTCGTAGATGTATGCGCAAGATCGATGAGAAATGTTTGTGGTTTTGTGTATTGTACCATTCAATCCACGTGATAGGATGTTCTTCTCCTCCAGGGCCACTGTTGTCGTCAATGAAACTCATTGGTGGGAGAATATTCCTTCTGGGTATCTCCAGGAGAAACGAGATGGGGAGACACAACAACGTTGGAGCATGTTGACACCTTGTGTGCTGTGTTGTCCTTATACGGATACCATATTAACCTTGGAATCTTGTGTGCTGTGTTGTCCTTATACTGATACCATGTTAACATTGGAATCTTGTGTGCTGTGTTGTCTTTATACTGGAACCATGTTAACCTTGGAATCTTGTGTGTTGTGTTGTCTTTATACTGGAACCATGTTAACATTGGAATCTTGTGTGTTGTGTTATCCTCATACAGATTCCATGTTACCATTGGAATCTTGTGTGCTGCGTTGTCTTTATACTGTTACCATGTTAATATTGGAATCGTGTGTGCTGTGTTGTCCTAATACTGATACCATGTTAACATTGGAATCTTGTGTGCTGTGTTGTCCTTATACTGATACCATGTTAACATTGGAATCCTGTGTGCTGTGTTGTCTTTATACTGATACCATGTTAATATTGGAATCTTGTGTTCTGTGTTGTCCTTATACTGATACCATGTTAACCTTGGAATCTTGTGTGTTGTGTTGTCCTAATACAGATTCCATGTTACCATTGGAGTCTTGTGTGCTTTGTTGTCTTTAAACTGTTACCATGTTAATATTGGAATCGTGTGGGCTGTGTTGTCTTTATACTGGAACCATGTTAACATTGGAATCTTGTGTGCTGTGTTGTCCTTATATAGATACCATGTTAATATTGGAATCTTGTGTGCTGTGTTGTCCTTATACTGATACCATGTTAATATTGGAATCTTGTGTTCTGTGTTGTCCTTATACTGATACCATGTTAACATTGGAATCCTGTGTGCTGTGTTGTCTTTATACTGATACCATGTTAATATTGGAATCTTGTGTTCTGTGTTGTCCTTATACTGATACCATGTTAACCTTGGAATCTTGTGTGTTGTGTTGTCCTAATACAGATTCCATGTTACCATTGGAGTCTTGTGTGCTTTGTTGTCTTTAAACTGTTACCATGTTAATATTGGAATCGTGTGGGCTGTGTTGTCTTTATACTGGAACCATGTTAACATTGGAATCTTGTGTGCTGTGTTGTCCTTATATAGATACCATGTTAATATTGGAATCTTGTGTGCTGTGTTGTCTTTATACTGATACCATGTTAATATTGGAATCTTGTGTTCTGTGTTGTCCTTATACTGATACCATGTTAACCTTGGAATCTTGTGTGTTGTGTTGTCCTAATACAGATTCCATGTTACCATTGGAATCTTGTGTGCTTTGTTGTCTTTAAACTGTTACCATGTTAATATTGGAATCGTGTGGGCTGTGTTGTCTTTATACTGGAACCATGTTAACATTGGAATCTTGTGTGCTGTGTTGTCCTTATATAGATACCATGTTAATATTGGAATCTTGTGTGCTGTGTTGTCTTTATACTGTTACCATGTTAACCTTGGAATCTTGTGTGCTGTGTTGTCTTTATACTGTTACCATGTTAACATTGGAATCCTGTGTGCTGTGTTGTCCTAATACTGATACCATGTTAACATTGGAATCCTGTGTGCTGTGTTGTCTTTATACTGATACCATGTTAACATTGGAATCTTGTGTGCTGTGTTGTCTTTATACTGATACCATGTTAACATTGAAATCTTGTGTGCTGTGTTGTCTTTATACTGATACCATGTTAACATTGGAATCTTGTGTGCTGTGTTGTCCTTATATAGATACCATGTTAATATTGGAATCTTGTGTGCTGTGTTGTCCTTATACTGATACCATGTTAACATTGGAATCTTGTGTGCTGTGTTGTCCTTGACATGATACCATGTTAACATTGGAATCTTGTGTGCTGTGTTGTTCTTATACTGATACCATGTTAACCTTGGAATCCTGTGTGCTGTGTTGTCCTAATACTGACACCATGTTAATATTGGAATCTTGTGTGCTGTGTTGTCTTTATACTGTTACCATGTTAACCTTGGAATCTTGTGTGCTGTGTTGTCTTTATACTGTTTCCATGTTAACATTGGAATCCTGTGTGCTGTGTTGTCCAAATACTGATACCATGTTAACATTGGAATCCTGTGTGCTGTGTTGTCTTTATACTGATACCATGTTAACATTGGAATCTTGTGTGCTGTGTTGTCTTTATACTGATATCATGTTAATATTGGAATCTTGTGTGCTGTGTTGTCTTTATACTGATACCATGTTAACATTGGAATCTTGTGTGCTGTGTTGTCCTTATATAGATACCATGTTAATATTGGAATCTTGTGTGCTGTGTTGTCCTAATACAGATACCATGTTAACATTTGAATCTTGTGTGTTGTGTTGTCCTTGTACTGATACCATGTTAACATTGGAATCTTGTGTGCTGTGTTGTCCTTATACTGATACCATGTTAACCTTGGAATCCTGTGTGCTGTGTTGTCCTAATACTGATACCATGTTAACCTTGGAATCTTGTGTGCTGTGTTGTCCTTGTACTGATACCATGTTAACATTGGAATCTTGTGTGCTGTGTTGTCCTTATATTGATACCATGTTAACATTGGAATCCTGTGTGCTGTGTTGTCCTAATACTGATACCATGTTAACATTGGAATCTTGTGTGCTGTGTTGTCTTTATACTGATACCATGTTAACATTGGAATCTTGTGTGCTGTGTTGTCTTTATACTGATACCATGTTAACTTCTGAATCTTGTGTGCTGTGTTGTCCTAATATAGATACCATGTTTACATTGGAATCTTGTGTGCTGTGTTGTCTTTATACTGGAACCATGTTAACATTGGAATCTTGTGTGCTGTGTTGTCCTAATATAGATACCATGTTAACATTGGAATCCTGTGTGCTGTGTTGTCTTTATACTGATACATGTTAACCTAGGAATCTTGTGTGCTGTGTTGTCTTTATACTGATACCATGTTAACATTGGAATCTTGTGTGCTGTGTTGTCCTAATACAGATACCATGTTAACATTGGAATCTTGTGTGCTGTGTTGTCTTTATACTGATACCATGTTAACATTGGAATCTTGTGTGCTGTGTTGTCCTTATACTGAAACCATGTTAATATTAGAATCTTGTGTGCTGTGTTGTTCTTACACTGAACGTTGATATCAATACCTTGTGTTCAGTATCCCTGATACACAATGTCTATAATTCTGAAATTAAATATTTTAAGGTGTCACGTTTCTCCCTGAAATACACACTTGAGATGACTCCAAAGCGATGTTATATCTACACACCTCATGAAATATTGTAAATAATGAAATTAATGTGTCTCCAAATTTATACGATTGCTGACTCCTTTTCAAAAACGTGACTCAATATCAATTATTGGGTACTTGAAAGCGTTCCCAGCTGCTAACTTTTGCAGGATTTTGTATTAATTTGGATTAAACAAATAAATGATTTTTTTCTTTGTTCCAATCTATTATTTTTGGCAATTAAAGTAAATAGCGATTCATTGTACATGTTTTGTTATAAAGATAATGGTCGACCAAAAAAGTCTGTGAACATGGAGAGATTTAAGGACCAAACTGAAGCTGATTAATGGAACTTTCTAGGTTAATGATCTGCCAACCCTTTACGCCGATGTTAGCTATGTTACATCAGCCTATCTGTAATACATCTGACCCATACTGACCACTGGTTGACAGCATGAAGAACGATCCACACAACCCGGGTTCGATGAAGCCTTCCGATCAACATTTAGATATAAGGTCAATGATGGGCTAATGTAGCCTTCTTTGTCCCGGAACTATGGCAAGGTGAAGGTTTATCATAGTATGCATACCAAAGCTTACAAATAGCAGACATTTATCTGATATCTGCTGTGAATGAATTGGTGTATATATCATCGCATTGACTCACTACACATTGTATACAAGATACTGAACGTAGTTTCCCCACGTCACCTATTTTAGAGTCTTTAAACAATATGTAACCACGCGCTTTATGGAGTAATCAAGGTAGACAGTTCAAAGCCCATAGAAGACATCAAAGTGTTCGCCATTTGCCGCTGAAGTTATGTTACGAATTATACTACACGAGGTGAGATATCCAAAAGTTATTAAAACAAACGTTAAAACTTACTTTTTCACAAATGCACAATTTAATCAAACCTAAGGCAGCGTGAGTTATGAGCGTGTGTACAGAAAGTGGTATGGTCATGTGAGGTATGTGATCAGGTGTAAGATTCTCTGGCTACTTGAAGTATAAATGGAGGGACAGAGTGAGGTGAGAAGAAAATGGTCTGGTTGTGTGAAGGTGACATTCTATTAACGTGAGCGTTGATTCGGGCAGGAACCAGCATGTATTACACTGCTCTACACATATAATTGTTTGTTGTTTAACGCCGCACTCAGCAATGTTCCAGCTATATGACGGCGACACATAAAAATTAACAGAAGGTTGAGCTTCTTCCTCCCTACCGGATGTACTCTCTTGTCATGACAGTGTAGGTCATGACACGCTTGTCAGATGAGTAAAACATGAAACATTCAGAATGCTCATCGTTCTTTAATCAAACTTCACTGCAGGATTTTACATTTCAGGCTAATAGCTGGAGTTGATGAATAATTGTGGACTATTAAACAAATACGATAATAGTGTTGAAAAAATTACAAAATTATAATTATTGATACAGATATTAATTTAAAATACAGTGGAATTTCAGATCCGCATTTGAAGCGTCTTAAAATGGTTTGAGAAAAACAATCGCTGTTTTCTTGTGGAAGAAGGTCCTGCATGAATTCCATTAAAAACAAAAAAATGTGTTTATAGGCATTGTAAGATTTATAGATAGCATGAAACTCCTACAGGAAGAGAGAAGCAATGATGGAGCCAATGACAACAACCATCGCCGATGCAGACCGTGAGCAGCTGCTGGTCGTGACGCTGATCTCGTCAGACATCACCGTGTTCCACCATGTTCGTAGACTCTGGACAACTGTAGCCCTGGAACATAATGGGACATTTACAAATGGAGCGACATAAAGACTTGCCACACATGTTTAGGTCATTAGGTCCAGCACCAGACATAGGTTGATCTGTCCCAACAATCATGCTTATATGACGCTCAGAGTAATGTATGCATTAGCAGAACAGAGAGTTGGCGTTTCATTCTGGCACGGTAGAATTGAGATACGTAATTTTGATTTTGATTTTGAAATTTTCAATGTCATGGTAGAAAGGACGTTTATCTCTTATGGACAGTGTTACACAATCACTTATATTCAAATTGATATTCAGTAATTTTCACAGCTTGTTTGACCTTTATGCCATTTGGAATCTGTTTCGGCGGATAATCTAGCCTGGCTATTCTCTTACATTGACGTTATATAATTAACGTACCTGAACTCGATGCCCTGTGACACGTCGTAACCAGCTGGTGCCTTCCAGGTGAACATAACGGACGTCTTCTCAGATGCATTTGTGTGGGTGATGGAGTTCTGAGAATGAATGATGTGTCAACTGCAGTGGACAGCTGGACGTGTAACGTGTAAAATTCGTAAACTTTCGAAAATATTACTATGATCCGGGCAACCGTACTTTATATACATTAACTGCGAACTTGAAAACCTACCTTGTCGCCATCTGCACAGTTTTTGGTTTGAATAGTACCATCCGAGGCGGTATACTTGGCAAAAGTCCCGGGCACTATGGCAGTGTCGGCGGTGCTACACTTGGTACAGCGGGCTTGGACCAGGAAACCCTTGAAGTATCCGTTGGTGGCAGTTGCGTTCAGGGTGACTGAAATATACAAGACACATACAGAGTAATACGAGAGAGGCACCATCGGGCAAACAAAAGCTTTCAGGTTAACGTTTGATCTGATTATTAGGTCAAAGAGAGAGAGAGAGCGAGAGAGAGAGACAGAGACACAGAGAGAGAGAGAGAGAGAGAGAGAGAGAGAGAGAGAGAGAGAGAGAGAGAGAGAGAGAGAGAGTGGTAGTAGTAGTAGTAGTAGTAGTAGTAGTAGTAGTAGTAGAAAACTAAACTAATTTTAACATCTCAATCGTTTAAGTGTATGAGTGTCAAGAAGTTAGAGGTCACCTCCGGTCCGGAATTCCTTGGGGACACAACTTTAAGCAGACAGCTATAACATGTAGATCAAGAGACTGAAGTGAAGCGGCAAGCGTTTAGTCCACAGATAATAGTCTTTCGAGAAAGAAGAGCACACTATATGCTTGAACAGACTAACATCTAGTCTCTGAAATGAACATATCGTACAGAAAAAACAGTTGTTCAGTTATCTTAATAAAAATATAATAAAAAGGGAGTACAGTGATTCTCTTCATTTTCAGATACTGCAGTAATCTAGACTTGCCAAACATTATAGACTTGCATGGGCTGTATTTCATATATATTTGTATCAGGGTCTGTAAGACAGACTATATGCTTGAATATTGTTTTTTTAACACCAGTCTTCCTTACTCGCACATATGGCAGTCCTGGGAAGTGCAGCTGCAGCTACCTGGTAAGCCTACATGTAGGGGGCTGATTAAACACTGAGGTGTTGAGATAAACTATTATACCTTGATCTTTTTTATGAGACAAGCACGAGTAGCAGCTGGGCAGTCATAGATGAAATATTATCTACAGACGAGTACACACTTGCTGATATGTTTCTTTAAGCGCACGGATCGGAACATCTGATCGGATTGGCTAATTCGAAACAAGGCAAATTGGCCAACAAGTTTAACTTAAGCTTCAGGGATATCGATGATACGAAAATCGTTCAGTGACGGTCAAACAGCCAAGTGAAGTGATTTACCCACCTGGACCCACTTGCACAAAGCGGTCTTAGCACTAAGACTATCGTAAGCCTATGTTTAAAGTATGGGAGTTACGATCGTCTTAGCGCTAAGATCGCTTTGTGCAAGTAGGCCAAGATCTTCTATGGGGACAAAAGAGGCCCGTGAAACTGTCTCATCTATTTCATATTAAGATGTTTGCATACTGATTCAGAGCGCCAATAAACGCTCCACAAGACTGTATGACTAGAGGGGTGACTTCACGTTTCCAAAAGTCAATTTTCCCTTTATGTAATCGAGTGCTCACTGATCCAATGACCATGGTTAGCGCAATAAAAGTGCACATTATTATTATTATTATTATTATTATTATTATTATTATTATTATTATTATTATTATCATCATCGAACAATATTCCAGCAGCTCCAGCCTTTGGTGTCTACATTTCACAACTTTAGAGGTACAATCGAGCATGCTCAATATTGGAAGATTTCAAAGATCATCAAACGACTCTTGTTAAGAAAGCTTTCAAGAGGTATTATGGTAGACATTTGGAGAACATTTCCAAATTTGACGCCTCAGTGACCAAATGGTGTCCGATGCAATTCCTTATTTTGACTTGTACCACATGTTCCTGTGTTTTTGTTTTTCAGGTGTAAAACTGACATCCTCTCGCATGTGTTTGTGACGGGAGCGAGCACCTGGTATGATCAGTATCATAAATAAACGATGCGTAACACAACGATGTTCTCTGCCATAACTTATTCTATAAGCTTTCAACATTCCATATCCTACCCAGTTAAATAAAAATACTCACCTTTTGGCGAACACCTGGTATCAACACTATTTGATAGTGATTCATAAACACATGCTCATGATATATTCCGATTCGTACAATTGACTCTGCTTTTAGCAGAAATTTCCTATGAATCAAAACATTATGGAAAGAGTGTTGTCGCTTTTATTGGCGAAATATTTGTTATGTGAATACAACGTTATTCACCTTTGTTAAAACAACCAGAAGATGTCTTGTTTTACTCGAACGTGCATGTAGCCTGACTGTATCGACATCTTGTTGACAGAGATATTTACATATGTGTAGGAGAACTACCACAAATGTTGATAACGTCGTAAACTCATAACGCTGAAGCATGTGACGCATGTGGACTTACCTGTAACCATCCCTCCCTGTTTGATGGAATTTGTATCTACGAAGAGAGAGTATGGCGGCGTTGAGTTCTGGGCGATGGAACTGCGATGTTGAGGAGTGAGGTTGATGCAGGCTGGATCTCCTGCTCCTGTAGGGTAGCCCAGGACCAGAGCGGGCAGGACACAGGCGATAGGGAGGACGATGTACGCAGCCATCTAGAATGATGTCTTCATTTAATCTTTTCATTCATTCATTCATTCATTCATTCATTCATTCATTCATTCATAAAATAATGTAGATTACAACAATAGAGTTTTACAAGTGAGTATATCACTCGGGTCGTCTATGCAATTATTTTTATAATACATTTTACTTTTGTCAACATACAAAAGGTTTAGGCACAAGTTGAACATATTTCTGTTATAGCCCGGCTTGTTAGCTTGAAGTGAGAGAGAAGACCTACTAGGTGCAGGTCTTAGACGTCTACCACTTTGGTGACATCCTCGAGCACCGGTAGGGTGCCAATACACCTAGAAACATCAAGGCGAATCTGTATTTGGAATTCGCGTCCATAGGTTCCTCGGACGCATAAGGAACGCAACTCTGCACACCGAACTCATGCTAGAAACAAGTATAGCGATGCACATGTTCAATAAAGCCGTAACATAGATCTATTGCATATTTTAGTGCATAGATAGATATATTACTTCCGTATTAATAAGTATACTATTTGGCTATTTTAATAATTGATTTTATTATCAGGGCTCCAAGCCGAAAGGCTGTAAGCCCTATTGTAATCGGCCGATTTATTTATTATTATTATTCCGCCGATTTTTATACCAGAGCTGGCAAAGTAACCACTGGCTCGATGCCGTTCAAATATTGTATGTGTATGGAGACAGTTGAGTACTAGATACGAAAAATATCACAAGGCCGTAGGCCCAACGACAAAGGGCATATAACTAAAGTTTTGAATATATGTCTTGCCCTATTGCTCCGCAACCGCAAGTCTGATTACTTTCAAACTTTGCATGTGTCTGCTGCTTTAGGTGCTTGTCATTTCATATTCTTTAACTTTGGTCATTGGTTACTTGGTTTGGCAGCCATATTGGATTCAAGGTTTTCACAGGGTTTTTTGGGTACTAGTCTTCAAATCCAATCTCCTCTGCATCCATTGCATAAAATGCATTCAAATTTTCTGAGCTTTGTCTCCATACAAAACAGAAGTACGTGTCTTAACAGATTTTTGATATCTTGTTTAGTTGCGGCTGTATTGCATTTTGATTTTGAAACTTTCTTCACCGAAATTTTACTTTAAAGAGTATATCTTGTAAGGTTGTGAACTTAGTGTGCCATATGCATCTCATTGTTTGTTCTTGGTTGCATGCTAAAAGTAACACCGCTTGGTGGTGATATTTGACTAATATTTGGGACACCCCTGGAACATGCCAATTTCGTAGCAGCGATGTCTTGCAAACGGTGACTTTCTTTTGACGGAGTTTGTACAAGCAAATCCTTTAAGGATTCGAACATGTTCGAGGTCGGAAATGGGTTTAGAACAGACTTGGACACCCCGACACACGCCAATTTCGTAGCGGCGATATCCTACAAGTGGTGCTTCCATTTGACGGATTTGGTACAAGGAAACCCTTTGAGGATTTGAACATGAACCTTTGTTACTTTGAGCCCGCCATTGCTGCTTGCAGCTTTAATATATATTGGATTTAATATTACATGTCATAAAACCGGACTGTATCATACACAATGTAATCGTCCAAAGTATCACGTTTCTGGCTTAACGAAGTTAACGGGGTATCCTTCATTTGGATGTACATCGTCCCACTCGCCAGGTCATTGTACAGAATTGATCATAGGTTCAAGTTACATAATCAAACAGAACAGAAGATGAAATGACACGTCTGTTGATGTTATGTGGTATTTCTAAACAGATTAATGTAAAACTACTTGGTATATTCCAGAAATGCTAATTCACAGTGTGTTAGACACATCAATAGAGTTAGTGTTAGTCCAAAGATATCAAGGAGACATTTAATCTCAATCACAAACCCAGATGCCCCTGCTTATTCTACTGTTACAGCTGTCATCCCTGGATCCGGAAAACTCAAGTGGCGGATGACACCGCCCCACTGTTAGGAGATACTATCGGAGTCCAACGTACACACTTTCGATTGTTAGAATGTGAAGGCGTGATTGTGAATAAACTGATTTTCAACCATTGCATCAGTTGTGTTCGACAGAGAAACATAACATCATCATTATACTGTTCCTCATTCTCATACCTTCCTAAACAATCACAAATATGTGACGCATTGATCCAGACGAACCCATCTTAGTGTCACCATCATTTAGTCACTTACTTATATACATACAAGAGGAATGTTGGGAGAATCTGACCCCCGCTAGTTGAGTGACCAAACAGATACAGTTCCTGACTTTCACTCTCAAAGACGATATACATACTGACACAACTAAGAACAAGGTGACATAATAATCAGATTTATGTATAAAAACTGGAAAGATCGCTGTACCGTGAACGGACAAGTTTTTGTAAAGTAAAATACAGTTTCCAAAACAGGAACCTATTATCATATTAAGTGTAAGTAACACCAATCACTTAAACAAAGAGTATTATCTACATACAGTATACTGACCTCAGTGTTCCTACAGACTACAGTCTAACAGCGTCGTCAGTGTGCGGGACCAAGTAGTGACTGTGATGTCAGTCCCTGAACCGGAACACGACAGACGACGTATCCGGTTTACACATATGCAGCAGTGCAGATTAGACTGGTTCCACCTGAGTGTGATAAAGAGATGCATAGATGGCAAGACATGTTTGAGGTGGAAGCAGTGCAGTTATTGCAAAGTAAAGGGCAGTGTGTGGTAAGGGGGCCTTGTTGTGGCGACTACGCTTCGAAACATATTATTGACAAATTCTCGATTACCAATTTGGAGCCTAAACAAAAGAACATTCTGGAATGGCTAATAGATGGTCTAGATTGTATGGACTCAGTCGTTCGGAATACTCCGTGTTAAAGTTTTCGAGGTTGTATGATTAGAAATCACATCCCGACTGTCACTTTCATGATCTGGTAAGCGACGCTCTGATTGGTCGGATGAAAGGTCGTTCTGACGTGACCCCGAATGGGATGTCTTCAGATCTTTGTTTAGCGGTAGCGAGGACTAAGGTCTGATTTTAATGAGATTGGATAGCTTTCATGGCAATACTTCTAAGCCTTCGGTTACTGTGGACCCTACCTGGGCAATCTACCATACCTGGCCCTAGAGCTCATTCTATCTCGCTTACTGGTCACTGTGGCAACTGTGTTCGTTTTTAAAAAGAAGACTTATCAATATTTCGTTGAATGAAGTAAAATAGAAGAACGGCCAAAACTACTAGATGTTAACCGAATCATGCTAATGTCCTACGGTTGGCATCAGGTGGGAGATTCAAAATTGATCTGATAACTTTATTATCTGACGTGCCATGAAAAACATTTTACACATGAATTGTATCAAGGGGAAAAGGCTTATCTAATACATGGATAAGCAGCGATCCATACTTAATTCTTAACTTTCACGTGATGTTCACCACCATTGGCCCACTTAGATTCAGCATTCCATGTGTGTATATACGACAACATCCACACACTATCGAAGAATGGCCGAGCCGTTCAAATAAAAGCGATAAAATCCTTTCCATATTCATAAGAAATATCTGCTAAAAGCAGAATCCATTGTTCGACTACGACTATATCATGAGCATGTGTTTATGAATCACTATCAAATAGTGTTGATACCAGGTGTTCACCAAAAGGTGAGTATTTTTATTTAACTGGGTAGGATATGGAATGTTGAAAGCTTATAGAATAAGTTATGGCAGAGAACATCGTTGTGTTACGCATCGTTTATTTATGATTAAATATATCTAGAATTTGCAAGTGAAAGAAAACATTCATCAGGAACCTGTATTTTTCTCCTTATTCCGTGACTCCACTGGCCACAGTTAGATGTACTTTGTGTGCACGGGTGGAGTAATCGCACTTCGCTGTGCATGACCCCTGGGGTTGTTGGTTCGAGCTTTGTATTTCCTGGTGTCGATGTACGAGTTAAGCTCACTTGTGATTCGCCGTACTGCTTATCAGTATGTCATCACTCATGATAAGCATCATGTAAGGACATGTGGTCTGTCAGGAGTACTAACAGGCAGTGCAAATGAATTGCCTGACAGACATTGGCTACTCGTGATGCAAAGTAGATTTCAGTGAGACCCGGACCTGACATAGTATATATTCTACCCTGGAATTGCTGCCGTGTGCCTATGGAGACATTCTAATATAATATCGCAGTAAGGGAGAGTGAGAGAGAGAGAGAGAGAGAGAGAGAGAGAGAGTGAGAGAGAAGGAGAGAGAGAGAGAGAGAGAGAGAGAGAGAGAGAGAGAGAGAGAGAGAGAGAGAGAGAGAGAGAGAGAGTCCGTTATTTAGACGACTTCAATATTTCATCCCTCCCTCCCTAAAATGAATATTGTCCTTGTAATTGTGATATATCTTCAGATATTCAGTTTAAGAATGTAGGGGGGCATCCTACGCTACGACATGAAGTGTGGATGTGCCTGCACAGACGGGCCAGTCCCCATCTGCTATCAGCGTGTCAAGGGTGGGGTGCCGGTCAGCAGTCTTCTTCCCGAGGCAAGGGAGTAAACTGACTTTAAAAATCAAGTTTCCATCCTTGCCCAACTAATATAAAATTGATATAACTGGAATGGTGTCCAACGCCGGATTAACCCACTCACTCACTCACTCACCCTGTTCCAGTAACTTTTGGTTCGATTTATGGCACTGAACTGTTCGAGGTGTCCTTTCTAACAACATGGTGCACTGGACCACGGGACGTCAGCATGGTCCCAAGGTCAACCTCCCTTAAAGCGGCTTCACTGCGGACCCCTGACACTGGTGAACTACATTCTTGTTACCACACTCTGAACAGAAACACATGTACGATACGTCGGGATGTTACAGTCATTGTATTGTACAGTAACTTGGTTGGTTAATGAAAGTTTACTAAACTAAAGACATTATCAATATGTTGTGTTTATGATAAGTGATTGCTGCTGAAAACTTGACATATGTTACTTGATATATGACCAATGGATGCCACAACAAATCAATTAAGTCAACGTATCTTTCTCTCGGTGATTAAAATGTGGATTGCCATTACCTGCCTGAAGATCAACTGGCAAAATATATATTCTTTTGTCAGTCACTCTCGGAATTACAGATTGAGGATAATCTGGATGCTATACTTTCAGACCTTCCAGGGACCGACACGTCTCTTGTACTTATATGTCTTTGTGTCACGTGTTATGTGTCATGTGTTCACAGATGCCATGTGTCTGTATCATGTGTCATAAGTATATGTGTCATGTGTTGATGCATGTCATCTGTGTCATATGCTGAGTCTGTGTCATATCTCACATGTAATGTTTCTTTGCCTTATGGCTTAATGTTTCATGTGTCTATGTGTCGTGTTATGCGTTATGTCTCTATGTAATGTGTGTATGTGTCTATATATCCTGTGTTTATGTAATATGGGCTATGGGTCGTGTGTTATGCGTTATTTCCCTGTATAATGTGTGTATGTGTGTATATACCACGTGTTTATGTTATATGGGCCCTGCGTTAGTTCTCTGTGTAATGTGTCAATGTGTGTATGTGTCTATATATCATGTGTTCATGTAACATGGGCCATGCGTTATGCTTCATGTGTCATGTACCATCTATCATGTACCATGTATCATGTTACACGTGTTTCAGTCCGCTGTGTCTGCCACCTCGTCTCGTGCCAATATCAGTGATGTTCAGATCAAATGGATACCCGCTCCTGGCAACTAGCGGCATAAGAAGAACCCGCTTATAATTTTGACTCACGTACCTGCATATACAGACATATATGAAACTGACACCATATTAACATTGGAATCTTGTGTGCTGTGTTGTCCTTATACTGATATCATGTTAACACTGGAATCTTGTGTGCTGTCTTGTCCTTATACTGATATCATGTTAACATTGGAATCTTGTGTGCTGTGTTGTCTTTGTACTGATACCATGTTAACACTGGAATCTTGTGTGCTGTCTTGTCCTTATACTGATATCATGTTAACATTGGAATCTTGTGTGCTGTGTTGTCCTTATACTGATACCATGTTAACATTGGAATTTTGGGTGCTGTGTTGTCTTTATACTGATATCATGTTAATATTGGAATCCTGTGTGCTGTGTTCTCCTTATACTGATACCATGTTAACACTGGAATCTTGTGTTCTGTGTTGTCCTTATACTGATACCATGTTAACATTGGAATCTTGTGTGTTCTGTTGTCCTTATGCTGATACCATGTTAATATTGGGATCTTGTGTGCTGTGTTATCTTTGTACTGATAGCATGTTAATATTGGAATCTTGTGTGCTGTGTTGTCCTTATACTGATACCATGTTAACTTTCGAATCTTGTGTGCTGTGTTGTCCTCAAACTGATACCATGTTAACATTGGAATCTTGTGTATTGTGTTGTCCTTATACTGATACCATCTTCACATTGGAATCTTGTGTGCTGTGTTATCTTTGTACTGATACTATGTTAACACTGGAATCTTGTGTACTGTGTTGTCTTTATACTGATACCATGTTAACATTGGAATCTTGTGTGCTGTGTTGTCCCTATACTGATACCATGTCAACATTGGAATCTTGTGTGCTGTGTTGTCTTTATAATGTAACCATGTTAACATTGGAATCATGTGTGCTGTGTTGTCCTAATACTGATACCATGTTAACATTGAAATCTTGTGTGCTGTGTTGTCCTGATATTGATACCATGTTAACATTGGATTCTTGTGAGCTGTGTTGTCTTTATACTGATACCATGTTAACCTTGGAATCATGTGTGCTGTGTTGTCCTAATACTGATACCATGTTAACATTGGAATCTTATGTGCTGTGTTGTCCTTATACTGATACCATGTTAACATTGGAATCTTGTGTGCTATGTTGTCCTTATACTGATACCATGTTAAACTTGGAATCTTGTGTGCTGCGTTGTACTTATACTGACACCATGTTAACATTGGAATCTTGTGTACTGTGTTGTCCTAATACAGATAACATGTTAACATTGGAATCTTTTGTGCTGTGTTGTCCATATACTGATACCATGTTAACATTGGAATCTTGTGTGCTGTGTTGTCCTTATACTGATACCATGTTAATATTGGGATCTTGTGTGCTGTGTTATCTTTGTACTGATACCATGTTAATATTGGAATCTTGTGTGCTGTGTTGTCCTTATACTGATACCATGTTAACTTTCGAATCTTGTGTGGTGTGTTGTCCTCATACTGATACCATGTTAACATTGGAATCTTGTGTGCTGTGTTGTCCTTATACTGATACCATCTTCACATTGGAATCTTGTGTGCTGTGTTATCTTTGTACTGATACTATGTTAACACTGGAATCTTGTGTACTGTGTTGTCTTTGTACTGATACCATGTTAACATTGGAATCTTGTATGCTGTGTTGTCCTTATACTGATACTATGTCAACATTGGAATCTTGTGTGCTGTGTTGTCCTTATACTGATACCATGTTAACTTTGGAATCCTGTGTGCTGTGTTGTCCTAATACAGATACCATGTTGACATTGGAATCTTGTGTTCTGTGTTGTCCATATACTGATACCATGTTAACTTTGGAATCTTGTGTGCTGCGTTGTCCTAATACTGATACCATGTTAACCTT